TTTCCATTCGTTGCTGAATTTTCGGACCAGTGAACCCAACATTGACTTACATCCGAGTCGGAGAATTTCCTATTCGGCTACGAAATTTACTCAGCCACAAAACGCTACGTTTACGACCTCCGAATTCGATAATAATGCTACGACGGGCTGATTTTATTGAAATTTTATGCTAATGACGGGCTATTTATTGCTTCGAGAAAACGTTCCGAACGTAAACGCACGGTTGCAGGTGTTGCTAATATACGAAATATTCAAATTACGAATTGCATTGTTTGTATAATCGTATAGCAAACGCAAAATATTCCTTTCACAACGGCCTTAGAAAGTAATTTGCGGATTATTTGGTAGTTTAGTTTTTTTATTTAAAACATTTTTTAATTAAATTCCTCACCCACAGTGCCAGGGATTAGCCTACATACAAATTTTGGATAAATCGCCGGCGTAAACGCCGCGCGAAATTTTCTTTACAAAGCAAATTTATTTTGGCATATTTTTAATGCTTCACTAATTTTGTGAAATTAAATTCAAAAAATTCCCTACGAACATTCGCGGGATTCTTAATAAAAACGCGCAAATTGTAGAAACTTGCTCTAATTTGACCTCAAGCTATTTTAAAGTTTCGGTTTAGTTACTTCAATAGCAGCCCTATAGGAATTAGGAACAATGAGTAACCGTTGGTACGCGTAGGAAAAAGCTGCTCGAATATCGTCGTCAGCTAACAATGTTATGCGCTTCAGGTGCATAGAATGCAACGACGGGACCGTCGCTTTCCGTCGAGCAAGCAGATCCTATCGCCGATGCTCAGACCTGGAAATCGCTTCGGGATCAAGGAACTATTTGAGCGTGAATAGATAAATATTAACGTGATTACGAGGCGTTCTGCCGTAATGGGGATAATGAAAAAATTAACGATTCAAAAGACTTGCGAACGCAAAAAGTGTATACAGGGTGAGTTACGCTCAATGGGACGGTATCTTTTATCGTTTGCCTACAAAATACTGCGTCCCGTTGAGCGTGATTCACCCTGTAGATGTGATGGTTTTATAAGCAACAAACTGGAAAAATTAGATTGGAAATTATTGTTATTATTTGCAAGTTTATGTGGACTGTCGTTAAAATAACATAACGCTATATATTTTATTAAAAAGCATAAAATCTCTATCTACTATTAAGCGTTTAGTAAGATTTTTAGAATCTCTCATAATGATATTCTTTTCAGCGAAAAAACGTAACCGTACCTAAAAGCTTCCGAATTAGGTTGACTGAAAAGTTTCGAAACTATTAACAAAATCTCATTGCTACGATAAAAAGAACAAATTTAGGAGATATCGAAGCAAATTAAGCGCGGCATGAAAGCAGTGAAGGCTCGAAATAATTTTTTACTCATGATAAAACAACGAATATCTGTAGGTAAATGACCAAAAATGTTCAAAACAGACATTCCGTAATTTCCGCAAGAATTTTTACTTATTTCGTTGAATTAATAACTTTAATTATTGTCGGTTTTCTTTGCCAGTGCACAGCTGGACTCGCCACTGCTGTTGGCATTAAAAAGATTGGCGGAGCAATCGAGATAATGGAAAACAATTTCGGGCCGCTTCTTTCAGACAGCGAATGGAAATATATGATTTCATATTCTTGAAATTTCCAGTAAACGAAAAGTAAGAATCAAACCAAATGGAACTCGAGTCAGCTTATTTGTTACTATATAGGCACAATTTCTTACATAAATTGATATAAACGGTTTCATATTTTTTAATTTTTTTGAGATCAAAGCTTCATTATTAGGTTCGAAATCGCAGTTAATTTTCATGCACGAGTACTGAACTGGTAGGGATGAAAAAAGTTCGTGTTTTTTCTACGTGATTCTACTTCCAAAAGCCTATTTAGCAACGTTCGCGACTCCTATCATAAAATGTAGGAATAGGCTGTAGTAATTTATTTTATTGGAACGAGCTTATTTCTTTATGTCCAGATTTATATACTGTCTGAAACGGCAGAGGAAAAAAGCTTACTTTTCCTTGTTCTACCCTTGTAAACTTTTACCCAATGCTTATTAAATCCAGATTCTCTATTTATCTTATACTTTCACTTCTTCAATCTTCCTTAATCATTAAGGAACCCGCCCTTTTATAAATAACTTTCTTTAATAAGTAAATATGGATAAGCAAACAAGTGTCTTAACGAAGGAAAAGGATCTGACCCTGCTCATTCATTAGTCATCATGTGAAGGTGAAATTCAAAAGTTTCCCTCCGGTTTTTCCGGTGATTTTTTATGTATTCTGATTCGGCTCGAGGAACGTCGCATGGAAATCGGATAAAGGCGGACACAATTGCGAAATCTTTTATTTACCAGACGAAAAAGCGAAATTTATTGATGCCAATCATTGTCGTCTTCGTATGATAACGCATGGTGAATGCTGAAGTTTCGTTGAAATATTTATGCGGGTTTCGTTTTAAATTCTCCGATTTTCATGATTTGTATAAGCATCATTTTTTCGTATTGTAGCACAGGATAAAAATAAAAAAAAATATAAATTTGAAAAAAAATACAATCAAGCATTAATGCACTATCGCAAATTTCCTCGAGCAGGATTAAAACTCCATGCTTTTTTTTCTTCCAAGAAGCTTCTTCCCTAATTCCCGGTTTATCCCCGACACTTAGTTGTATGTTATTGGCGCGGGTTAATTTGCCGTGGTATTAACCGGTAGTCCTTGACGTATCTCGCGCTCATATCGCTACTAAGGAGGGATAACAAAGGGATACCCTTTTCAAGGATATTCAATAGACATAACCCTTGTCGTTTAAATCACTTTCCGCCTGCACTGGGGCGCGGAAGGAATTCGGCCGGCCTATTCGATGATTCTATAAATCCGTTAAGGATATACCCTTATCAGATTTTCATTCGGAGACAAAGTGCGTCTTATATATCATACGGAGTTTGGGAGATTTATTTGGGCACGGGAAAAAATCTCACTTCTGAATTATTGAACAATATTTATAGAGCACCTTATGTACACAACTATTAACTAAAAGCGGTAAAATATCGCGTTAAATATATCGAATAAATAACCGGTTATCTCGCGAGAGCAAGCCGTTTGATATTATAATCCTGTTCCAGGACATTATCCGGAAAACTCGGGATTATACGTTTTGCCGACGAACTGCCCCTTAGCGACCTTTTTACTGACACGGGCTCCATTTTTACCGTTTCTTTTGTCATTATGCGAAATTCACCTTTTGCATTTTACATTAGCACTTAAATTCAAACGGCGTAGGTTAAAATTGGGGGAATTTCATGGAATATTAATTGGTCGCATTATCTAGGCGTATAAGCGAATAAACGTGCCGAATAAACTCGGAGCTTTTTGGAGATACATAATTAAAATTTAGCTGTTTGTGGCAATATTGACGATTGAAAAATTGAGAAACAAATTCCATTTATAACAAGAGGCTTTACGTGTCACCGACAGTATCGGAATTGCCTACCCCACGTTTCGTTTGAACTGGTTATATCTGGAGTTCTGTTCGAAACTATTTGAATAAAAAGCATATGATATTGGAAGAGCCAGGGATCTTTTGTTGCCTTTTATTTTGTAACCTTCTTCATTCAAGCTGTCATTTACATCTGAATACGCTCAGTTTATTTTTGTATAATTCTTATCACAAAGAAGTAGCTCTTTTTAAATAAAAATAACTTTAGATTTATTCAAATTGCGTGCTAAATTGAATGAAATATCGATCGTTAAGTTGCAAAAATTATACTACTGTATAATAGAGCAATGTAAAATGAAATGTGTTAATTGCATTGTGAACATCATAATCAACAGAAACTACTGCATTTAGTAACAATGTAAATACTAGAATCGGATTTGAACCATCAGCTACAAACTATTTAGTTCAGAATTCTGTTTAATTTAAGCTACTTATTTTGGAAACAGCGTTCCATTTAATCAACATATTGATTACTGAAATAACAATTCAATTTGAAGTTTCCTCCCTAATAGGATGAAATTTAATTTTCTTATTCAAGTAACTCAACCAAAGTATTGTTAGAAAGATATTATTAGAAAAATAAAAAAAAATTTTTGATTTTAATTGATTCTATAAAGAAAAAATTGCATTTTTACGATTATTTTGAAAGGCATTAAATTTGTAGAATTATCCCGTTTACAGTTCGTAGAAAAGTCATCATTCACATAAGACAAACGTTTTCTTTGTTTTCTGAAATTTCCCGCATTAGTACCGCGGCATAGCACAGTTCGAATGATAGAAGATAAGGATTGAGTGTAATCCTCCTAAACAAACAAAATCCGAAGGGCCTCAATCAATCATTTCCCATTATTAATACCGCGGCTCGAGCAACCGCTTATGCGAATATGATTAATTACCGACAGATGAAGTGAGTGTATTTCCAGATGATGCGACGTAATGGCGGCCTTTCCGCCCGTTTTTCAATTTTTAATCGACGTTGAAATTCATTCGGCAGAGAAAACGGGATTTTTGGATTTTTTCGTCAGGTAGGCACGCCGAATAATCGATTATTCCGTTTACAATAGTGAAATTTTCCTGCGGGCGGCCTTTCATCTCGGTTTTTCGTTTCCGCCTCTCGAGTGAAAACGGGTCAGCGGTTCTTAAGCGGCGAAACGGCGGTTTTCCAACCGACATTACCGGTGCGACAATAATGAAATTGTATCAAGCGATATCGGGCATGATTGATGCCCTGTTTATTTGAGGGGACGAATAAAAAAAACAACAAATTTCCATTTAGCAGGATAAATAATCGATGGAAAATTCGCCCGATTCATGACAAATTACAGAGCTTTCCCTCTATTTATAGCAATAGCCTCCAAAGGCTCACTCAGTCAATCAGCGATCGCTGCAGCCTTGTACTAAATATCTAAAACGAGTCAACTTTAACACAACTGGAGTTTCGAAAAAAAAACTTTCCCCCAACTGATATAACCCGTTAAATTTGGGAAAATCCGTATTGTTTCAGACTTGGCGAACGGCCTTTATCTGTCCCAGTCCAGCGTGAACGCGGAGCCCGGAAAAAGTTTGGCCATTTCGTGCCGGGATCCGGGGGGCCAGCAGGTCACGTGGAAAGGACCCAAGGGGCCTCTGCACGCCCACACCAGGCCCAAAATACAAGACACCTCCATTGGAAAATTGCTGATTTTCACGCCGACCAGCGTCCACGATACCGGAAATTACACTTGCAGTTTGTTGAATAACAAAAACGAGTTTAAAGTGTTTGCTCTTGTAGTTGAAGGTACGTATTTCCACAGATTATATACATATGATTTACGCAAATTTCACCATTATCAAAACCCTTATATTGTAATTAATAGCATATATCATCGCTTAAGTAATGTATTGCCTATTAATAATTTACAGACAAAAATAGCGATGATTCGGAGGACCCTTTTAATAATGATAATACATACAATTCGAATAGAAACCACAAAACTCACCGTGCTCGTACTCACAACTCGCACAGACACGAAAATGAAGGTGAGATTCTTACCTTGCGAGTGAATTTTTGAGTAGTTCTTTTTGTTTTATTTTTATTAGTATATACTATAATATAATTTTACTTAACCCTCTTCCTTGTTCCTGATATCCTGCATTTTTGTTTCGTTTAAAAATACCTTTATTACAGAGATAACGATTATTTTGCATTTACAGACCACAAAGACACGACATTCGAAACCGATACAAGTACTAATGATTATTCAAACACCAATACCCGTCCACATCGCGGACGCGATCACGAAAATAGTCCCGATTCCGATCCAGGTAAACAAACAACCACTTTTAGGGCAAAGTATATGCAGTAGACCAGCACTTTCGCTTCCACAAATTGATAATACACTTGACACCTCGATTAGCTTTCGAGACTTCCATCGAACACATACATGCATTATGTACTGTACACGAAAATTCATTGGGTTGAATTGAACAAAGAAATGCTGCACTTATAAGGTTTGGGTGTCAAGTGCGTTATTCTGTTCGTTGCAAATTTAGCGTTGTTGCAGCTTGTAGAATTTACCAATTGCAACAAGTTCATTGTGTAGAATAGTCGCATTTGATGCCCATACATTACGTTGCCTTTTAATAATATAGTAGTAACGAAACCTTGAACAAATACCATCAGCAAAGCAAGGACTGAATTCGCATAAAGTCGGTACCTATATCTCGCAAAACTATCAAACAATCCAATTTCCTCTGTATCAAAATCTTTTTAAAAAGTACGAAAGCATGATTTCGAGACTCGATTCCCAGGAAAGCGCCTTTGCCCGGTTTTTTATACTTATTTCAACATTGGAAAAGTGGAAATACGAACCGTAGAAGCAAAATAACACACGCTAATGTACGTATATTCAACTTTTTCAATATCGCCATATCTCACACATTATTCTCCATTTCGGAATATTTCACGGTCCACGAGGTCCAAAGTTATGAAAGACGTCTCGTCGTATCGTCGCGATATCTAATCTATCTAAGTGTGCATATAGTCCTCGCGAACGTAGCGAATAGTTGAATGCGAAGCCCCTTCCAGAAATCCAGGCCGTCCACGTATACCGGATTTCTGATGTACGATGCGCCTTTATTGCGCTTTCTCAAAGATGATACCTCATCGTGCATAACTTAAATTAACCGTCTCTGTTGTGTGAGGAGTTTAAACGGCTTGTTGATGGGGTTTTGTGTTCTTGCTTGGGGATATGTGTTAATCTCCAGATGGAGTATCGTGATTGTGCACCAACAATAGTCCATTATTGCAAGCCCCATTTGAACATTAAAAAATCCCAATCGAAAATCGAAGTGTAACATTTTGATAAAGTCATTTGGATATTCCAACTTTTCAGCTCGACAACATGAATTGATGAGTTTTTTTTAAACGGGTCTCATTCGATTCGAAAGCTATGTATCTATGGCATATTCAGTGGTTAATTATTCCCGAAATCCTGTGGAATTCATATAGTTTTCATATCGACGGATCTACCGTAAAGCCCTGAACCGGCCAATGAGTTATGCTGGAAGCTTTTGAATCATTTATGAGACGTTCTAGATTGATGGAGTACAATTAAACGATTCATATTAGGTTCAATAAATTTCGTTTCAATTACTCGATGAAATTCGTCTAGCATGTTTTTTATATATTATCTACGGACGATGCGCAATGATTTATTAATCGTTTGTTAAGCCGCGCATGTGACGTCTCCAGATATTCTTGTAGCGCTGTACAAAACTGCGAAATAAAATTCAATTAACCCCTAATGCACCTTGCGCCTTTTCAAAGGGGCTTTTAAGATTTTTACTCGTATTTTAAAAGAATCGAGTGCCTCCATTCGACCGTCCACTTAGCCTCTACCTACCTAAAGGCGAACGAAAAGAACGGGTTATACAGGGACAAAGAGCACTAAACAGACCCGGAATTGAGAACCGGAGCCGGAGGGTCGAACCGCAAAGAGGTGGGTAATTAAGTAACGTTTACACTCGGCCGTAAAGTGGAAATTTTAAATGCTAAATATGGAGTTTAATGTCAATATCCATGTCACGAGTGAAAATGTAAAGCGAGCTAGCAATTTTTGACTTCTGGAAAATCGTGAGGTATTAGTAATTCCGAAGATATTCTATTGATTTTACAAATAGGCACTAGATTCCCTATTAATTAACAGCACCGAATTGCCTTATGTTCACTCGGAACACTATCAGAAGGTACAAGTGTATAACTGAGTAACGTGATTGAAGTGTAACAGAGTGCCTTAATCAAACCAACGTAAACAGCGTTCTCTATTAGGCCGGTGCTTTTAACATGGCACTATAATAAAACTAGAATAGGTAAACCCATCGAAAATCAATCAGTAAAAGGATATTGGAACTGGAGGCGGCTTGTTGGTAAAGTTAGGAAATATATAATTACTTTAAGGAAGTTTATTGATGTTGTAGATCGAGTTACTATAACAAATAACGCGTAGGATAATGGCTTTTCTTTGAGTAAAACTTTGAGCAAAACTCTATGAAAATACAATTATAATAGTGCCGCGTTTTTATGGAAACTTGCTATTCCGTTTTTCCCAAAAATCGTTTTCTCCACGCTGGCATAATTCTCAAAGGAATTCGAACTGTATAAGGACTAGAATTCTCGAATGTCGCGCAAAAATGCTCCACCTAAGGCTAGTTGAAATATTTCAACTTGTTCAAATACATTTAGACATTCGGAGCAAACCAGCTCATGTAATAGAGAATATATACGTTTTGGCGAGCTTTAAAATTTAATTTAAATACTAACTGTTGCTAAATTCTGATTTAAATAGCTTTTATTACTACAATAGATGTTATGCTGGTGCAAAACAGTGGCCCAAACAACAATATAATGGAGCAATAATAACAGAACGCCGGATAAATAGATTCCCTTTATTTCTAAAATAACGGTCCCGATATTACGAAGGTTGTCAAATAAACAAACATAAAAAACAGTCGTTCAAAAGTAGAGCGGATGACCACAAGAGAGCGAAATAAAATTTTTCCGCCTTGTTGGGGTAATAAATATTTTTTTAGGAACCCTTGTGTTTCGTATAAATCCCACGCAAGGCCTTATTGGAACTGGCGATGTCGCCCTTTTCCCAACCGTTTGCACAAATTAATTGAATTTATACGCAATCGAAACGGAAGCGTTTTTGCGGCGTTGTGACAATTAAGTGCTTAATCAATCGAAATTATGACTTAATAGGTACATAGAAAATCCAGTACTTGTAATGTTTTTGATAGATAATTCCGAACTTTTCAAATTCTACTATAGCAAGAATATATAAAGTTTACATACAGTTCTACAACAAAGCTAGTCTAAAGCGTTTTATTACGCCAATAAAATCTTTATTGTCCAGGTTATACATTTTGGCAAAAGCTATGCTGCTACTTTATCCCTATTATGAATAAAGTATAGAGGTTTTTGAGATAGGTAGGTATGTGGAAAGCAGGATTATATTATACGGAAGCAGCCTACATAAAAGAGTCGTAAAATTTCGTATGCATTATAGTCCTATAAGGGTTAAGTGAAGTGGTGATATTTGTGAAATACAAATTCAATTTCGAATTATTCATCACCTATGGTTTTTTTTTCAGACCCCATATATTTCAAGGACACTCCGGAGGTGCAAAGAGGCAAGGAAGGAGACAATGTGACCATAAGATGCGAGATAAACAAACCGTTGAAACTCAACTGGTTACTGGAAGACGAAGGTGAAAATTTAGGTAAATACCATCACGCTCTGAAAACCACCCCATTTTCGCGACAATACGTTGGAATAAGCGAAATATTTTAGAATGTTTACGCGATAAATATTCCCCGTCGATACATCAAAGAGTTTCCCATTCGTTTACGCTTGTTTGCGCGAATAATCGGAAAATGCGAGTTGATAAGGAGAGGAAGCAAACCTCGCGGAAACGAGTTTTTATTCATAAATTTATCCAAACACAAATTTATGATCAATTCCTTAGCTATTGTCATTTAACTTGGTATCGAAAGATGAGTTGAACGATACCCAAAAAGTCATAGTTTACATTATACATATATTTTATTAAGGCATTAGTAGTAATCTTACGAATACATGTGTTTGTTTCAGGACCGAGGTATAAACCAATTGGTGATGGTTTACTCATTATAAGCGCCTCTCGTACCGAAGACAACAGGGTTTTTATCTGCGAAGTAGTCAAAAGTAACACGGGAAAAGTGATTCACAAAAAAATTAGATTCATTGTCGAACGTAAGTGCTGACTATTTATTTATTGTTAATCATTTAAGATGCCTCAAGCGATTTTTATTCACCACACATATTCTAAAACACAATATTAATTACATGCGCTAAATTAGACAAATAAGCTGTTAAACAACCAAGGGAGTGCACGCGAAGTTTCCGTTAGATTTTGAGTATTTCGAGCTTCTACTTCGAAGTTCGCAATTAATGTAGCGGTTAGAGATAAATTTTGTAGTTTGCCGAGTCGAGTCGAAATTTCGGATTCTTTACTTATCAATAATGCACATAGTTTGCGAAATGTGTGTATAATATTCTGCCCTCTTAGCGCTATGAGGGACTCAACAAGAACTAATAAGGGAAAACGTTCGTATCACAGCGAATGCAAAGTTTCGGCCGATATGCTACTACTCAGTATTGTGCGTTAATTATCCCAGTTGCGTTTGGGAATAGTTTATACAGCAAACTTGACTAATTGGGACTTAATTGGAAGACCAATATCAATTACTTATTTGGTTAACATTCGCACGTTCTATACATTCATGTAAAATATTTTTTTCAGATAAACCAATAACAGTTACTTATCCATATAATACGGATACGGGTAAGTCACTTTTGTTCAAACTTTAAATTGAGCATGATATAAAGATGCGTCCAGTTTACATCTATTTTATTCAATTCATTAGGTGCAAAATGCATAATTTTATTTTCTTTGTGGATTTATTTGAAGGAGAACCTCCCGTATGGGCGCAGAATGACGAAGTGTACGGGTTCCAGGGGGAGAACGTCAATTTAACCTGCGAGGTGGAAGCAGAACCGCCGCCGACATTCGAATGGAGGAGCAGCAATCAAGGCCACAAGAAAATCGGGAGGGTAATAAAAGAGGGCACTCACAAATCGATTCTACAGGTAAAATTATTGCAAAAATGTGCGTAAACTTGATCGTTCTCTCGATTTGAATTTCCTTCGGAAAAGAATTTTCCAATGGCCAATTCCTTCGCCAAGACTTTGGGTTATTCCAGCCCCGACAGTTTTAAAATAACTTCCTTAAAGTACACAAAAGAAAATGCAAAGTAAACGCTAGTTGCTGTACGGAAAAGGATTGAAAGTAATGTAAATTTCTTCCTTTTTGTTTATTAGAAATTTCAGTATGTCCGTGAGGAATTTTTATTCTCATTCACTGTGCCTGTTGGAAAGTATGCGCATAGAAGGTTCGATATTCAAAGAGAATATTATACATCTACAAAAATGTCATGTCTACTTTATTGGATTCTTTATACGGGACGAGACAGAACTACAATCTCGGTATTTTACAATGCCGCATTTGCATCACCCGGTTATATTTCAGCCTATTCAGGACATAAATTGCAATTCATAACGTGTAAAATTAATTACAAAAACCGTGACACATTTTCAATTGTTCGATGTTCCATGGATATTTTATGCGTTTATCACGCAAATTGGCTCATTTTCCAGATTTATATAATTTATACAGTGCGATAGAAATAGCTACACAGATACAGCGTCTACAGATATACTTATCGCTCTGTACATTAATAAATATGCCAAAGCAAGAAATACATTATTTTAATAACACTTCCGAAAGGTCTGGGCTTCTACCTAAGTGTAGGTAAATAATAAGATGAAGACGAGCTTATGGGTATAATGAATCGAATAAGTGCACTCTTCACTCCTCATGTCTAGCTTCGATATATGGAAATCTCTGCGCCGCTCGAGGATAGAGTGCATTGGAAAACGTTCACTTTAAAATTCAAACGAATTTTTCGGTGTTTATTTTCGCCACGAGAAATATGTCAAATTCAACGTTCGACAAAAAAGCGCGGTTGAATTTTTTCGTCTTAGCTCCAGAAGGGTGTCTGAAACTGATGTTAACGAATTGATAGAGATAAATGGATTTCTGGAATAAACTGGTCAAGGAAATCCGGTAAAAAACCACACGCTTTCCTAATCCCTGAAAAACCAATATCATACACGTTAGTATGAAATAATTTGTTAACTTTTAACGCCTTCGGAGCTCCTCGTCCTGGTGAGCAGAAATACATTGTAGGTATATTTTTCAGTTGAAAATGTCGGAGGAAACTGTGGACAAGTATCAGTGTATAGCGAGCAATAAGCACGGGAAACTGAAGAAGTTCTTCGATCTTCAAATCGGTGTGAGGCCAGATCCGCCACGGAACATCCAGCTGGTGTCGGCGGGAAGCGACAACATAGAGTTGAAAATAGAAAAGCCCGAAGAAAACGAAGAGGCCATCGATAACGGAATGGACCCGAGGTGGATGAACGTGTTTTATAGAAACGTAAATAGCGAGGATTGGGACGAACAAATATTCAATATTACATTAGGTGAGTATGTTTGTTTGGGTTGAATAATAAGTTTATTTTGTACTTTCGGAGTAATGGAAATTGTCAATCTTACAAAAAATCGCTATCGAACGAACTTCTTTTCATCGTTTCGTTGACGTAAATCCGCATCGCGAAGAAGAAATTCAATGAAATTAAATTCGATTAAGTTTCCTTCCAGTTCGGGCTAATATCGAGGACATGAATAATGCATATTTCGAATTTCTTGTCCGTTTACAAAGAAAAACTTCCTCCTTTAAAAGCAAACATTGCTTAATAAAATAGACAATTAGACAACTGGAGACTGCGAAACGTTAAACTTTGCATTTATTTTTTAACCGGCGACTCGAGGATTTTCCTCTCTCGAATAAAAGTGTGCCTAATTGTTGTTGGAAGTTGTTTTTGAAGGAGATTTCACGGAATTGCATTAATCATGCCATTTCTTTTACAAACACGATTCGAACCTCGCTCTTTACTAACGCGAAAGTCTCGCTTGCTCCACGAGCTCGGTACAACAATTTCTTTAAGTGGTAGTGAAAAACTGAATGTTTAGTATACGTTAATATTTTTTTCAGAAACTTTTAACCTGACGGAACTGAATTCCAGTACGATGTATGAGATAATGGCAGCCACCAGGAATGTCGCCGGACTTTCGGCGCTCACCAACAACACGTTTATCGAGACGAAAAACGCCGGCAGTGTTCAAATCGATAATCTCAGTTTTCTCAGTGTAGTAATGGTGAATTCGTTAATTTTGTTGACGTCCAAACTGGCTTGAAAATATCCGCGGAAACGCTAGGGCGATATTTATTTATACGAGAAATATGTACCGTTCATAAACTACCCCGTCCGTTTTAGGCTAGAGGCTGGCGGGCTTTCTGTGGTTTTCACTACAAATTTCAGCGATAATACAAAATTTTATTAAAACTTTTTTTTATGTATATAAATTCCGTATAAAGTTTATAGTCTTTCCGAAATTAATCTGAAATGCCAAAAATTTATACAGCAAATAAAAAACTAACTTTGGGCAGACTATACCTGCTAATTACACCGCAATTATAAAACAGTTCAATTAACTTCTTAGGTTAATAATGAATATTTATGAGAAATAAAATATTTACTAAACGACTGACTAAACTTTCGTATAGCGCAGACCCTAGCCTAAAGGGCTTTAAATCTAGGGAAAAAAGAGGACAAAAATAATATATTTTAGATGGTGTCACGGCCAGGAGTTTATTTTGTGTTGAGAACCTAGTGGTTGATGCAATTAATTGGAAGACCGGCCTTTCGGTTAAATTAAACGGAAGATTAAATCGCTGTTAATGAGCCGGAATCGTAGGGAATGCTTAAAGTCTAATTGTATTTAAATTTGTTAAACTAGTGGAATTAATTATTTTTTTTGTTCCGGAAGAATTTTTTACCATCTGAAAAAAGGTTTGTTCTCTTTTTTTGAAAGATATAATAAATATAGATTTAAATTTTGGTTGAAAGAGCTGGGGATTGGACTTTTATTCCAAAGGTGTTTTTAAATTTTTTACCCCAAATTTCAAAAATTTGGAAATACCTTCCTAAATAAGCGTGATTTTAGGGCACTTTTTGAGTAAAGCAGGGCAGTGTGACAAGGTTTTTCAAATAACCAAAAAAAAGACTGATTGGAAGTAATAGTTGTATCTAATAAAATTAACTCTACTAATTTTAGTGCTTTACATAACTATAAAAATACTTCTACTAATTTTTCTGTGTATTCTATCTGTATATTACGATGGTAAAGGATATGGAGGCAGTCTGGTCATAATTCAGAAACACCCTGCATAATACAAATACATTTTCTCCCTATTTACAAGAAATTCGTTTTATTTTATAATTGTCAACAAAATTAATGTTTCCCAGCTCTAATGAAAATGTTAATTAATTATTGATGGATGCTTTTCATTTGTGTACGTATGTTGTGGAAAAATCACCCCGAAATACTAAATGTAAAAATATAATTCACTAACCCAAATAATTAATCACATTTCACTCGCAACAAATTCCATTAAAACGATCAATGACTATCACAACAGATTTTTGATACAGGTGCAAATACATTCTCACGTCTTCAGCTGTACTTATAGTATTGTAACTCTCTTGAAAAAAGTTGCGAGTTTTATCGTGGTTAAATATTGTGGTTAACTCATTTCGAATGCTTGTAAATTATATCTTCCCCATTAGGATTATTGTACATACGCTTTCTATATTACAAAATAATACAGTTGGGAAAATTTATTCGGTCATAGGGCGATAACTCGATAAATATAACGACTAAAGTGTTGATAGTTCAAAAAAGGATTTATTTTATTTTGTTTGTTATTTGTGTGTATAAGAGTAAGGAAACTTACGGTTTGTTTTGCGCCTCTTCCATCGATGTGAATTGCATCATTGAGCATAGAAAACACGTGAAACTACACTCAATATCGTTTGCGCGATAAAAACAACTAATGTCCGGTTTAACCAACGACAAATAAGACCTTCTTCTGTCCAAAAAATACATAATTTTGTTCCACCAACAACAAATAGCGTTATTCAACAATTAACTTGGCGTTTAAATTAACCAACGAAATTTGGACAGTTAAGTTAAAGTTTTATTTGATGTTTTCTAACCCCAAATAACATTAATTTGTAATAGAGGTATCTTTACTAGTGTTTTTCTGATTGTGAATTTTTATTTAATTTATTGGTTGTATTTTGTTATGTATTTTTAGTTTGAGAATAACTGATAATAGGTATAGAAATATAGAAAAGATTTGAATTCGAAAGGTTGGTTTGTCAGAAATATTTGTTATGTTAAACTGTTAAATAGCTAACTAAAGATAAAAATTGTTGGTGAAACGTCAAAATATTTAACTGGAGTTTAAAAGTTATTCATCGAATAACTACTTATAGATTTATTTGTCGTTGGTGAAACGGGCATAAGTGTAAAAAAGCACATTGTTGTTTGGGTATAATTCGAGACAGGGCCGTACTTCCTCACTGCTTGTACTATAAGTGTTTAAAATTTTGTTACCCGTTTTACTTGAATTACAAAATTAGTATATTTATGTAAATTATTTACAATATACAAGGTGTACCTACGTACCTACTTATCATGAATTATTTCAGATATATTTGATATAGCGAAAAGAAAATAACTAGTAATAGGAATAAAACATAGATATAGAACTTTTTATTGGTAAATGTGGTCCTAACTAATATGTCATAAGTAGATAAACGAGCGTCTATTTGTAAGAATGCTTCTTATTAATTTTACATAAAATGTAGTACCTAAATATATTTTTTATTGTTTACAAAGAAAAAATTTATCAGTTACAGTATACACCTTGTATATAATGTGTATATAATTTGTAATATACAGTGTGTACTAGATAAATATGCGTCAATTTAAACTAGTAACAAATTTGAAATAACAAAGTTTTTCAAATACATTCCAACACCTATTAAATTGTTTATTTCTGGTACACCCTGTATCTACTTGTTATTTTGAATTGTTGAAAATAAATATTTTTATTGTGAAATGGTCTCATTCCTCGACGACAAAATATTTTAAGGAAACAGGCGTTGTATTTATATATTTTTATTACGCTACAGATTCATATAATTTATAAAAAAAGAAAATATGGAACTAGGTATTCCCTATAAAAATATATTAACTCCATCAATTTTTCGAATGTTATTAAAAAAAAAGATTCTTAAACAAACCGATTATTTTTTAAATAATACACCTAGTACAACATATAAAAATTTCTTGGCAAGGTTTTGGTGTTGAGAATAATTATTTTACTTACATAGTGAATTCGCAGATCAGTCTGTGTAAAAAACTAATCAATAATTTTTAATTTAAATAAGTTCTCTGGTATTAAAAATTTCAGCATTTCCAACCCAATACGCAAAAAACGTTATAAATTTCAAAAATACTGTACAACTAAGTAGTTACTAAACAAAATTTTAATAAGTTCAGAAAAGCTTTTTACATTAAATAAATGATTTTGTATAATAACATCACAGCTTCCTGACAATCTAATTGTTATTAAGAACTTCAAACTCACCTGTTTTTTGTGCAACAACATAAAACGATCGCATCGATAATAAAAATATATTTGCAATAAAAATATCATCAATTCAAATCATCACAACAAATTTACTGTATAACAGCGTACTGATATTTTGATAAAGCTTATAAAATTCTTCAAATAGTCAATAACTAAATAATCACAATATTTATAAAAGAACTGTTACTTTCTCAGTTGTAAATGGAAAAAAAACCGCGCGTATACAAAATTCGATGATTTTCGCATCTTACAAACTAACAGAAGAAATAATATTAAACTACGCTAATTTAATATTAGATAAAAATCATCGAATTTTGAACATACTGACGTTTTAATACCAGAAAATAACAGGAATAATCATGAGATCCTCCTCGCCGATCTCAATCGTATATATGTACACAGAACATCACAATAATTTGGTTACATTTTACTTTACTTATCCTCATTGTCGTGGCAATTTTGCATGGTCATCTCCATCTGTATATTCTGCATAATTTGAGCCGAACCTCTCCTCAGCGGGCTCGGGTCCAGGCTCGGCTTCCTCCTGCCCAGGTGCCTTTCCACCCACTTCAGCATCGTCAATACGGCGTCCGTCGATGGAAGCCGTCGTTCTGCGGAAGTCTTCGTGATTTGCGACGTCGTCACCCTGAAAGTCGCCGCCATACCTTTCAAAGCCTAAAAAAACATTCTAGTTAAAACCGGAAAGAGAGATATCGAAGGTGAAATAGTACCAGCATGGCGTCTTCGTCGGTTTGATCGTCACCGACGTATATAATCCTGATCCTTTCGCTCCAATCGACGCCGAAAGCCGTTCTGAGGATGTAGATGGAAGCTCTGCCTTTGTTCCACTCGACCGGAGGCCTGGCCTCTATAGCCAGATGCGATGTATCTGCTATAAAGCCAGCTTGTTTGATCAAAGCGACGGCTTGCTTCTCTAAATCTGGTCTAAAATGTAAGTAAGAACTGCTCAAAAACAGGAAGCGATATGGTCAACACATGTTGCAATAGGTTGTAGTTACGAGAACACAGTCGAAAGCAGGACGAAAGCTCACCTTAAATTCGCAGGGGTTTCTCTGAAATGGAAGGTCAGCATGGCGCCTTTATTCTCCACCCAAGCGCCGTCTCTGCACACTTTTTCTTGCAATTGTCGCATCAGATCGCCGGCTTTGTCGTGGAATTCGGTCGGCATGGGATGGACGAATTTGGTGCCGTCAGGATGCATGATTTCCAAACCGTGGTTTCCGGCGTACGTGATGCCCTCGATTCCCACCTAATTCACGATTTATAAAATGAAAATATCGCTAAAAACATGCACTAACACCAGCAGAAACGTTTAAAAAGGCCACTTACCATGTCTTTTACGTTGTTAACGTTACGACCGCTTACGATGGCTATGTAGCAGTCCGAAACCCTCGAGAGCCTCTGCAGGACGTTCTTCGTTTCTGCCGGGATTATAGCTAGATCAGGATGGGGTGCAATAGGAGCTAAAGTACCGTCGTAATCTAAAAGTAGAGCTAATTTGTGAGTGTTTCCAATATATCTGAAACGAACAGAGAGCGGCACGTTGGAAAGTGATCTTTACATTGTATAATTCCATTACACTCACTTGGATAAATATTCATCGAAGTCCTCCAAAGTGACGGCGGGCATCGTGATGGAGCCCACGTCGTCGTGATCCTCCTGCGACATCAGCGACCCCATGGCGGATAAGAAGGACTTGGTCCAATAGTTGACGTCGTTCAGTTTCTCGCGCCTTCGTAGATAGTTCATGCGGAGTATTCTCTCGTCCTCGGGCATCGTCAGCGCCCTGTGGATGACCTCGGAGGCGCCGTCGATTTCGTAGGGGTTGCAGATGAGCGCCTCGTGCATGGTCTCCCCTGCGCCGGCGAATGGCGAGACGATCAGTACGCCGGGCGGTACGTTTATCTGACAGGCGACGAATTCTTTGGCAACTAGGTTCATACCGTCCCTCAGCGGAGTGACTAAACCTACCGCGGCGTCTCTGTAGAAGGCCGCCAATTCGTCCTGGCTGACGCAACCGTATATGTACCTTATTGGCGACCTGAAATAGTCACGAAAGTTAGCGCTAGTAATAGCAATATAGGTTTGTACATACCAATTTGCAGTGGTAAATCTTCCATTTATCCTGCCGACCAATTGATCCATTTCTTCCTTCAAGTCCTGATACTCCTTGACGTCGGTCCTGGAGGGTACGGAGATTTGAAACAGCGATATTTTCTCTAAATGTTCCGGATGGTTTTCGAGCAGTTTTTCGAAGGCCTTCAGCCTGTGCACCAAGCCCTTGGTGTAATCTAACCTGTCGACGCCGAGGATGATCTTCTGGTTCGTCGATATCACTCTGGGGGCTTTCTCCGCCAATTCCACGAATCTTTCGAAGGGTATGCCGATGGGTAGGGGTCGAACTCGGACGGTTCTGCCACCGTGCTCGACCAGCAGGTTCTTCCTGTCCACGCGACAACCGAGGCTCCGTTGGCAACAGTCGACGAAATTGAGACAGTAGTCGGATATGTGGAAACCGACGAGATCGCAACCGAGCATACCCTGTAGGATCTCATCGGCCCACGGGAACAGCCTGAATATGTCCCACGGAGGGAAAGGAATGTGCAGGAAGAAGCCCAATTTGCATTTCATTTCTTGCTCGTCTGCTGCCTATTAAAAATGATGGTAAAAAATATTAAAAATTTATTGATAGCTGTTGCTATTAACTGAATATTTTGATAAGTTAAGTTTCAATATGAGAATATTTGACCGTTTTATAAACAATAAATTTATATGAGATAGATAAAATTTGTTTACTTATTTGTAATTTAATACATATTAATTTATTTAGCAATGTATGAGTAAACAATGTTTAGTCATATTTATGCTTTACTCAAAATAATCTACATATCTCGATGGCTGGGTTAGCTCGATTTTAGTCCTTTCCGTTGTTATTTATCTATGTTTGCAATGTACCTGTCGAATCCAATTAGCTGCCAACATGAGATGGTAATCGTGAACCCAAATCAAGGGAACCTCGTTGTTATTCTTTGGCAGCGATTGCAGAGCTTTGATCGTGCATTCTGCGAACTCCTTGTTGGCCTTAATGTAGGAATTCCAATGTTCCCCTTTGAAAGTGGCTCTGTCGGGCATCGAGTGAAACAACGGCCAAAATGTGGCGTTGCAACAGCCATTGTAATACGAATCGAATATTTGTTTGTCTATTTGGACGGCGACTACCTGAAAATTAATCGTTTGTATAGGCGAGAGAAATACTCGGTGTATTGTTTGTTTTTAAAAAATTACATAATTTGTGATAATAATCGATAAGTATAAATAAACTGAACGAAGAATGTGAACTATTTTACCCCATTTAAATTAAACAACAGATGAAAATAACAACATGAACATTGTACGAGACGATGAACCGTTAACAGATTATCAAAGAAAATTAAAAACATGTTGACGATTATCTCGAATAAACACGCACGGCTAAATCTGGATTAGATATCTCTTCGAGAAATCTGACATCATTTATTATTACGATTAAAATTGTTTACTATATTCAGATTTATTAAAATATTTTACCAAAAAATATAATCATAATAAACAAGGGATTATATTTCCTTTTGTAAAGAAAGGATCCACAACATTGAAAGCAAATAGGATCACAAAATAAATAATGAGCAAAAAAGAGAGGAAAATTCGTGCAGATATACTTACTTTCTCCGATTTGAGACCGGCCGTAGGTGTTATATCGTTCGGATCAGATTCAGGTATCGGCTCGTTGGGATCATCCAAATGTATGCCTGGCCATCCCACCCACAAACCGCCTCCATTTATCACCACAGGAGCCACAGCCGTCACTAAACCTCCAGCACTGAGTGAATCAACAAATAAAATAATAAAATTAAGCTCCACTTCATACAATTTTGTCCCCGCTTCAATCACGTTAAAAGTTCTTTTGTGGATTATTATAGATTCAAAATTGCAAAATATCTTACCTAGCTTTCCTTATGAGATTTCCATCCTTGTTACGTTGCAGAACGAAAGGTAACCGGTTGGAGACCACTATCATGCACCCCGAGGAAGCCACCACATCTACAACAATGTCAATAAATAAGTCTGATACATCTTTGGCGATCATCACATTCGAGTTCAGGCATAAATTCGAATTGTATCGGTTTTGAATACGGAAAGAGTTTTAACGGGATTCCGGTAATCTCTCTATTCTTCAATTCGTCCGCGTCATTTACGATTGTTAAGTTAAGGCGTCTATATTATTACTGACTATTCATTAACTTTTGAACCTCAAACAAAGTCAACCAAAAGGTCATAGGGGTTTATCAAGATTTATTTAATGCGTTTGTTGATTTTGTGAACAATGCGAGTGAACAAAATAAAAGTGTGATTTCCTTGTAAGTACCATTCTACTTTTGCTTTAATTATGTAGAAATACTTGTCTTAACTGCTGAAAATCAAAGGAAAATTACTAGCCATCGAGCAAACAACAAAAAACCTATAGAAAGAGGAACATTTGATAACATCAAACACCTTAATGGAAAAACAACGGTATTAAGAATGAATTTGCTAACAAATAATCTAATCAGTAAGAATTGGAATTTATCTAATAATGTCATTATTTAAAATATTTTAAGTTAAAAAAAATAGGTGTAAGTATAGGCTAATTATTAAAAAATACTTATTGGGCTTGTCTAAATTTAATGCTACTCCCTTTTATAATTAATTAATTATCAACATAATAAATTAAAAAGTAAAAACTGCTCCAAATTGTTATAAAAAATGTTTAAAATATGACCAGAGTATGAATCCCTTTATGTCTATCAAACCATCGTATTGTATTTGTTGACTTACGAATCAACAAAATTATATTCTAAAAATACTCGCCGTGATCAACTCGTGCTTTTATTAGATATAATTTAGATAAGTTTATTTAACTAAAGGAATTTTTATTAATTAACACTAAAACAGTTTTGTAAAAAATGGTTATACAAGGAAGTTAATATGACAACAATTAAAATTCTTTAATTTGGTTTGTTTTGAAACTTTTTAGTTACTTTTTAATTACTGGTCTTAGAACTAGCAGTTATAGTACCGAGTTATAACAACACAAAATTACAATTTTTGCAATCAGAAATATATCTACATGTTTTTTGCTATTTAAATAGCGAACCAACAGATAAAATATTCATAATTTTAGCAGTAAAACACTATTTAAAGACACCATAAGTATAGGTGTAGAATAATTAAGAAAGACTATTATCTGAAACTATTAAAATGAAATTTAAAAATACATTTAACAGTTGCCTAATGTAATCCAAATTTAAATATTTTAATTTGAAATCAAGTTGTTTCTTTAATGTCCGATGAACCATTGAAACCAAATAAAAATTAATGGTAAACAAAAACCTTTTACATATGTACATCTAAGTTTAACCTACCAGTATCGAAAAACCTTGTAAAACTAATAGTCCTAAATCTGCGTACTAATTGACTTTTTGTCATTATAGAATCTTCCAAGTTTCACCAACTACTAACACGTAAATGTAGTAGCTAGTTACCTTATCAACAAACGCTATACCGATAACAAAGCTCTAATTTTTTTATAGATGTGGCTTTATTTTATCTCAAAAATTAACACCAATTATTCCACCTAAATATCGGTTTTAAATTTTTAATGCGTAAATACACAGCTTATCGCCAAATTTATCCGATCGCGTGTATAAAGTATTAGAAAAATATCGCAAATTAAGTAATTTCAACAAGGAAAATAATAACAAATTCGAGTACAAACTCGAATAATTCTTAATTCATCATCATTAATGATAAATAAGGTACTTGTAAGTGGTATTGTTAATCGCACAGACAACAATACTTGGTGAATGGCTGAAAATTTTTATTTTATTAATTTATGTATGTATTATGTATAATAATAAAATTATTCAAATTTTTATGACTAACCAAGTCGTCCTCGAGTACTATTAGGAAAAACTTTGAATCTCTATATTACTTAAGAACATGAAAAATAATTGTAGATAGATGGGTACTTGATCGATATTTGATAAAAAATTTAAGTAATTAGGAGTAAAAAAGAAATTTTACGTACCGACTTCAACGCATTCTTTGAAGCAAATGCGCTTGATTTTAGGCGAAGTTATTGTCATCGCGCAATTCGAGTTATGGAAGCACTTCAATTACCGAAACCACGTTTACTGTTTGGCACATTACCAGCAAGTATGGTGAGGTAGAATTCAAACATTTTATTTTATACCGATTATACTCGAGTGCTAATATTTTATTGTCTTAATAATAAACAATAAACGGCTTTATCTCACTATAGTGGAAATGTATTGTACCTACAGGTAAATGAAAATATGTTTGTGATGTTACTTATCGAGAAGGAAATTGCTACTAGGGTATTTTATAGTTTGTTTGCAAATATGAAGAGTTCCATGCCGAATGCATGAATGATTTGACTCTTGACCTCACTATAATTACTAATTTTTAATTAATAACAATTAAGTAGATTTAAAATTTTCCTTTATAATGTGTTTAATGTCTTACAGTAGATGCAAAGAAATTTAATCAATTTTAAAGTAAATAAATTGTTAAGGGACCTATAGTGTTTGGAAAAATTCTTTATAGGTAATTCCTTGTTATAAATAAAATTCAAAATGTGCCCATAACCCACATATCATCGCGTGATAATCAGGATCTTTAATGCATGATAGTGACGTTTCTTAATGGCTTACGTATTAACTAATATAGTCCAAGTAGGTGTTATGTTATAACTTTAATGATAAGATAATGATCCTATTTATTTGATTTCTTTGGTCGATCGCAATTTTGTAACTTTTACGAAAATAAATGTTTTTATACTAAAATTTCATAGAAAAATCCTGCTATTTTTATGTCGTCGATACTAATCCTAATAAAGATTTACAACATAAACTGATAGTTGTTAATGAAGATCTATGAAGATTATTTAAAAACTTACCCATATGCTAGTCAACTGTAACATTTACCTAATGCAATAAAAACTTCAAAAAATAATTAAACGACGGAAAATTTGACGAATCTAATCTGCGAATGACCAGAAAGGTTACAGAAATCGAATCAGACGGAATTATCCATTGTTGATGGGTCAAATCGAAAAATTCCTTAATTACACAATTATCGATTTAGCCATTTCGAAATTGATTCGAAATAAAAACGTATAAAGCAAATAACTAATTTATTTGACGAAAAAATAGATCACTCCGGCTAATTAAATTATAATATTAAAGATAAATAACGAAATTAACTGATACAAACAGGAGTACCATAATATTGAGTATTGTAGTATGATACCTACCAATTGTGCAAGTATAAAAGTCAAGTGTTCGTTATGTATAAGTACCTGCTTAATCCAATTACACGATTTTCAATTAGGTATACACATAATGTTAACACTTACTTGTAGCACATAACATGATCGAATACAAAGAAAATAATTATTTTTTAAACGATTTACCGACGTCGAAAATCTATTTTTTAAATCATAAACCCAAGCAATGTTCGCACAATGTACCTAAATACAAACAATAAACAAATGTCTAATTATAAATTAATATTTTGTAATCGATCGGGCGATAAAAATTTAGGCGGGTAATGAACAGTAAAAATTCGACAATCATGTCACGGCCGGAAGAAAAAAGGAAGATGTAAAAAAGAACACGCATTGGCATTTTGAGATCAGGCGGAAAATTCGAATCGTGCTCGATTGAACTTGGAACCCGAAAAAAATCGGACGAAACGATAAATAATTGATTCGGGTTTTATCGCATCGATTAGTGACAGAACAGGTGAAGCGTGAGTGCAGAGTGAATGATTATCACGACACGTGCAATCGGTAGGAAAGCCGTCGAGATTAATAGAATACATTGAATGAATCATGAAGTGTCTGCAGTACTACACTTTAATTTATTTAACTGCTATTATACAAAAGCCAATTGAAAGCTAAATAAGAGACAAGGAATATAAATTAGAGGATTAAAATATTAATGGTTTCAATTGGTATGTTTGAAATTTTCAAAATTGTACTAAATTGTACTAAATTTTGGTAACGCTTGTTACGTATGTACATACCTCAATATAAACGAACAATAAAAGTTAATGATCTTTTAATCTTTATTTTTATTTGAGTATATACTGGAAAAATTGCGAACACCCACGCCGCATTTATTTATCGCGTTCAAAAATTATCGGATTCGTAAAATATTTTCGATTCCATTAATTTTATCGTAAGGAAATTGAAACGGAAAATCAATGTAAGCAAAAATGTTAATTGTTCTAAGACAATTGTTAACTGTTATCAGACACCCAATTGTTATATACGAAAAAGTATCTAACCTTTTGAAAAGTAATTGCAGCAATTTATTGCACCGTGCGAAAACGCTCTTAGTGTCTAAATAATACTTCTATCAATATGTTACATTTCGTATTTTTCCATCGATGATAATTTAATCTTCGTCAACAAACAATTGAATTAGACCTGGCAAATAAATAGATACTAAATAATAATAAAAATTATCGGTATACTGGCCAAATTGCTGTGCTAAGTTGAGTTCATTCGATAAAGTCATTTCGTTTATCGATTATTATTCTATATTATTTGTTTATCTAAATTAAATTTGCCGATATTATTTCTTCACGGGGTGTTAAGAAACGAATGATGTTAATGATGTTAATTCATTCAAGCCATGAGCCAACCTGTATACAGAGTTTATTCTAATCTACAGTGGAACACCTCGTATGTAAATAAATGATGTAAAGAGCATTATTAAATTATCAAATTCTACTTTTCATTGAGTTGCGTTCTACAAATGTTTATTCAAGATGTGTTTGAGTTTACCGTAATAAATAGGCAATAATTTTTTTTGATATTTTTTGAGAAATAACTGAGTTTGACTTGTTTAGATAAAGGCGAAAATGTTAATTAACTGCTTATGATCTCATAATATGAATTATTTTTTCAAATTGTTAGTACTTCTGTAGAAAGTTGTAAATTTAGTATTAACAGAAAAACTCACTTAACACATATCAATAATTAAATCCTTGTTGTATACAGGGTGTTTCAGAACTATGGAATATAAAACTTCTAGGGATTATTCATTGCAACGAAAGAAGACATTTGAGTACAAGAACCTATATCCCGATATGTCTCTAAGGCCCTCCGACTCTTTAACATCATGAAACAACAAACAGTGAAAACAGAACAAGTCTTGCTTGTATCGTCGCAGAACGATCAAAACGATCAAAACGATCAAAACTTTGCAAAACGATCGTCAAATGTTTAATCAAGTTTACAGAAACCATAGAGGACGTTTTGAACAGGTGTATTGAAGTTCAAGGACGACCTTTTGAACAATTGTAGCATTATTTTTTACGAAAAAAATATTTTTTGTACACAAGGGTTTTTAAACGTCATAGGGCTCTAGTGCCATAGGGAGATCATAGCCGAAATGGGTTTTCATTCTCAAATGTATTCTTTCATTGCCCTGAATAATCCATAGAAGTTTTATCCCATAGTTCTGAAACACCCTGTATTTACGCATGATTCTCGGATATTCTCGAATGTTACGCATGTCTATTTATAAAAAAAATCTAACTTGATACGGAAAACTATTTAAGAACATCATCAAGTTAAAAAAACCAACACGCAATACTACCTATTCGATATTTATAAATTCCCTCATTTCTACCCGGGAATTTTCCGTTAATCGATACAGAATTCTAAAGGTGACACAGCGATGTTAATGTAGGTTAGTTACGGATGGTAAACAAACGCCGGTTCTGGGCCACCAAACTTACTGTTAAAATCAGTAACCGAAGGTACTCTGGGATGACGTCTCCACAAACCCATATTTGTTTATTTTGTAAAGAACTTTCGACCACTTTGATAACGATTCAATGTCGATATCAAGCTCATACAAGCCACCTCTTGGAATCTGGCACTGTTGTGTATGCCGGCAATCACCTTAATATTTTAGCGTAGCTGGCTTGACGTTGGCTGCGGGATAGGATAGAATCGGGACAATGTTGCCACGTTTTTAATTCAGGATCAACTACATCTAGCGATCATTTCTCGAATAATGTTCCTTCCGCATTCACATGTGCAATGTAATCGATCGTTAGTTAATGGTTAGCTGCCTCGTGTTATTATTTAATCCGCTGTTAAAAAGGTAACTTTATTTAATTACCTACACGTTTGTGATGATGATAATTCCAGTCATCAAATTTTTATTCTAAGTATCTTAATTTTTCTTATCTTATAATATTGCCATTCTCGTAGTTTAGTTAATACGTATAATAACATTATGAATATAACAGATAAACAACAGGATCCTGCAACATTGCAGGAAGTTCCACACGTTTCCCGGAGGAGATTGCGCCTTTTGAATTATAACAAGTGCATCGCTCAATTTTTGGCTTTTATGGATTACGTAGATATTTATTGATTTGTGTTGAAAAACCCTAAACTATTAAATTATTCCATTGATATGCCTATTTACAAACATTAGCAAGACAAACAGAAACTTTTTGGTAACAAACAAATCTTATCACTCGGAATAAAACTGATCATACACAAATATCGTATATGGTTTGAAAAATATACTTAATATTTACAATAAGGTAGTTTATTATGGTATTTACCAATGGCAAATATCGCTTAATTAGTTTGTGCAATCAGAGTAATGTACTAAATTCAAACTCGCGTGAGATTCAACTTATAAAAACTACTTTCCAAACTTACTTTTGGAATCACAGCTGTCGCCATAATTAGGTTTTATTATGACCGGTACCTTAAAGACCAATGTCAAAGATTCGGCAATAATTTGACCACCATTACAAACGCAATTATTAGTCACTTCTTCCTAAAATGTTATAGAAAATTTAGTATAAAGATATTTTTAGAAGTTGAATCTCACTTTCTGAAATTTACCTATTTAAACGCATAAAAATGTTAACCATTAGATTCAAAATTGACACGTTAACAGAATTTTATAGTGTGAAATTCCATTAAAAACAAAAATTTGTGGCCCGAAGGGATGTCCAAATCTAATCTCTCATTCTCTATGAATATTTTTAACGGAAGATTGTTCGTTAACTTACTTCCGTTGACATGATCTTCGCTCTTTGCTTCGCAGAGGCAATTCTCACAAGCCATTCGCAAGCGGGGAAAGCAATAAATGCAGTATTTTACTTGAGCACATTATGCAAATTTTGACACAAACGAAAAGTTACATTTTCTTTCTAACCTACGATTTAACTATCAAATAGAAGTTGCTTGCAGTATTACCAACTGGTTATTAACTTCAAGTAGTAAGGACTATGAGATGAGGAAGAAATCTTATCTAACTCCTTCAGAGAGCACGAGTGTCTAATTGTTTGTAAACATATCGATCGATTATCTCGAAATACTTAGAAAAATTGATAATAATAATTTCATTCTTTAAATATACCATGGGATTTTAGACTTTGAATTTTGCATTCGAGATTATATAATGGAAATCACGATATTAATAAATGTTTTAAGTTAACGCTGCTAAATGACCAAAAATACCCGTATTTAGACAAAATTTATCTCTATAGTTGGAAAAAATCGCGGTATATAAAACGATAATTCGCTAAAATTAGCACAAATAACAACCACTAATTTATCTATAAATAAAAACAGGTATGTAATTACTTACCGGGTTGTATGAAAACTCTGCTCGGCTCTCGTCTCAGAATAGTCAGATACTTAAGCCTGTCGAAAACTTCGCTATCATTTTCGGTGGAGACCATTCTCACTTCGGCGTGGACTTGATATTAATTTTATTCGCGATATGATATAACGAAATTTCGACTTTTCACTGTTTTAATAACTCTCCGATCCCTCGATAGTGGCTTTATTGTTGAAGGAAGCGACTCGGTTGACCTTATTATCGAAATTGTTTCTTAACTTTGATCGACGCTTTTGGGAAAAGATGCAAAACTGAAACGTAAATAACGATAATGAAGAGTAAACAATAAGGGGGAGTTAATTGTAGGAATTTACCTACACTATTTATATATAATGCGGCTCACTTAAAACTCGAGTTTGTTGCAAAATGACTAAAGTATAGTGGCATGTTTTTGTTTCGAAATTTAGCTGAAAATTTTATTTCCTAATACACTACTCGAGATATTTAAGTACTAATATTCTTTTATGTCACTTATGATTTATCTGCTCATAAAAAATAGTATCTAACTAAGCTGTTATTACAAATCGAGTATTCAATAAAAGATTAGTAGGTACTTTTACTTACGTTAGAAATAACAACTAAACTGCAACAAAATTAATAAACGATCTGGACAATAAAAAAGTTAAATGATAGAGAACGATACAGAGAACAATGGTCAAAAAATGTTTAAAATATATTAAGATTGTTAAATATGAACCAAAATTGACCTTCCATTGTGCACTAAAGCCTTTCATTGGAGAATACATGATAAAAAGGGTCCTATAGAAATTATTACTAGTTATCTCTGGTAATTTTCAGTAATATTGTGAAGCTGCGACAGTAAACACTTTTATTATGTCAATGAACATAAATTTGTTTCACTTTTTAATTCCAGATGATTATTAGAAAATTGCAGTAACAATAATTGCAGGAATTAGTTAAATTGGTTTAGGTAGGGAACATTTCAAACAAACGATGTTCTCCTGCCTATATACCATCACTGCATACCAATTTTTTAGGAAAAGTCAAGTAAACTTTTATGGATATTTTCTGGAAAACTTTTGTACTCCGCCACCTAGTGCCAAATGGTTGAATTGTAAACTTCAATTTCGAATTCTCCTAAGTTCATATCTCAACAAGTTCCATTTCTGTTTGAAAGATGTCGCAACATGTGCCGGAAAATCGGAAAAAAATCGGAAAATGTGCTACATGTAGCAGAATTTTAAACATTTATGATCAATTTTTCTCAGTATAAAAAATTAACATTTTGTGGTAGTTGTAAATTTTAAGCCATATTTACACAAATCAATTCACGAGTTTTTTAAAAATAATAAAACACCGCTGATGAAAAATAACTTCCACATTCCAACTTTTGCATTTATAACTAAAAAGTCGAAACGGATCGAAAATAATTCATGCATGTTTTGCGAACATTCGCAGCGAGAATGTTGCCAGACGCCGCAGTCAGAGCCACATAAAACAACAGCCGTCATAAGTACACCGGAATAGAGCTAGTTTCTGGGAGAAATCGTCTTCAATTTGGCAGCAAAATCGAGAATATACTAGAAAATAACACCATTGTGTCGACGTCATCTTATAAATCAGCCGGCAGGGCATTAGCGACTCGTCCTTTTCCTCGAATAAATTTCCCAACAAAGAATAATCACTAATTTCGCTAACGAACCGATGATTTTTTTTTGTTTAATCGCACAACTTTCCTATTAACGATTAAAAATTTTATAGCTTCATAGTAAAAAATTGGAGGTACATAACAGGAATTTATCCCCGGATAATTAATATTCTGACCTAGATTCCTAACTTATCACAAATCATTAACAACATCATCTACGGTGAATAATAATCCGTTGTTCTACGTTACTGTAAGTCAGTAACCCGAAACCCGGCATAAATCAGCCCCGGTTCCTGTTCCTTAACCGGTCCCGGCTTATTACCAAACTCTCCTTCTTAAATCACGACCGCATCGAAAACGGTACGCCGGAAAAAGTAGCGGGGCAAGATGGAATGCAGCCCGTAATGGACCATTGCACTTATTATAGCACCCCATTGGCTCCGCTTTCTGTAGCTACAAATTATTCCCGCGTAATAAGGAGGATTTATAAAATAGCGCGGAACCGTCGCCCGACCGGAAAATTCCGCTCCTTGAACTTCTCGCCCGGAATCTAAACCCTAATCTTCTATTAGTAATTTGGCGATTTATTGCGTTGTGTGTACTGGATGCTTTTTTCGCACTTTACTTTTTTATTGCTGATGAGTGTGTTGAGAAATAGGAGGAGTTTTGCGGAAGTGTTTTTGTTAATTTTCGCGATTTGTTGGAAATAAATGAGGTTTCCTTAGCGCTCAAAGCCGGGTGGATTTTTTGTTGGCGAAGTTATGGCAGAAAGTCGCCCCGAGAAGGAGTTCGGAGTTTCAGCGTAACAAAGTGATATGATGATTAGGTTAAATGGTGAAGAATAATACCTCGTTAGGCATTCATTGAAAAGTTTCGAGTCGTTCCGTTTCGTCGGTTCGGAGCGATTTTCGACTTTTCTAATTTAATGTTCTCTTTTGGCGAGCCGGGCTCGTTTTGCGGTCGGTCGCACTTTCTCCCCCGGTCGACTTTCGCTTCTTTTGATGTCGCAACATTTTTATCGTAACCAAAAAATTAACCGTACTTGTCCGGGGATATTTTCCGTTTCCAAAAACTCCCATCCATCACCGCAAACTCGCTCATTACACCCGCTCTTCGGCGCGGCGCAGAAGAGAAAAGATAAATATGCGATCAAATGTTAACTAGAGGATCGGCGTAAATCCCGAGATCCGAAAACTCGAAACTCGGAATGAGAATATCATTTCCTAGTGCTGCTTAAAGGGGATCGCCGAGGCTCGGCCTGGAATGGTATGGATTTCGCTTCATCCTCCCGCTTTTTATTCGGTTTTATTTTAATGCGACGGAACTTTCTTTCGTTTTCCAGCTGGGGGATTTATACGGGAAATAAATGCGAGATCGGATGAAACGGCGTGCCTTCGGAGGAGGTGCGTTCCACAGACACCTACCGCTTAGATGGGGTTGTTTCTATTTTTATCTAACATGCGAATACCTGTTGAATTCGGTCGTAGGAAACGGGGAAATGGGGAGGAAGGTGAAAGGCCGTTGATCGGGAAGCGTTAAATCTTAATTCTCGCACGTTTTCTGTGCGTTTAGTTCTCACAACAAAAGACACTCTGTTTATACTTCCGCTATAAATTTATATATATTTTTATTTATTTAAGCTACAGGAAAACTCTGATTTTTCGCTTTAAATTATAAAACTCAGTTCCTGTATCGTTTTAAATTTGCCTGTTTTTTATAACGTGTTTCTGGCTTTGAGAGCAATTCAAACATGGAACATATTTCGAATATTTCGACATGTTGGTATCGTTCTGAACCGAGGAAACTTTTTTAATTCACCTATTGTTTTTGTGTTGGTTGAATTTGGCAATTTCTGTTGTGGTAAAATTTGTACTAGAAAGTGTACCTACATTTACAACGATTTTTGACTCGAATATTCGCTATATGTTAATAAGTGCAGTGTACCAATTATTTACTGCAATTTTCTTCTGTTTGTCCAAATAGAGCAGACCATTTTGGATTCATCACCTAAAGCTTCGCAAAACGTGATCTGTAAATCATAAAAAAATAATACAAATTCTTACAAACTTTAGAATATGTACTTACACCTTCTAATTTAGCTACTCTTTTTACGTTCCAAAGGAACTCAAACAGCGCAGCGGACAATGCGGTAATAATTCCCACGGCGAGAATAATAAACAAACCAGCGATATTTTCCGGTAGTAATTGCCCAGAAGAATCCACCGTCCTATCGCAAGTCTCTTCTTCATCCACTGACCACCATTTTTTTTTGAGTTCAGCCAACACTCCGTCTTCTTGCAATTTCAAAATAGCCCGGTTTATTGTGGATCTATAAGGAGCATCTAAAAAATAAGTACTCGTGATATCCCCATTAATGTTAGGATTCAAATAATTACTTTGAGGCATGGCGATGCCGTAATGCTTCAAATCCAACAAACCGCCAATTTGCTTCAATTTGCAATTCCTCTCTAACGCATAGTCTAATGTAGTGGATTCCATGAAGAAAACGTACTGACCATTGGACTCCAATACTTTCTCGATGCCCTCTTGGGTAGTTTTAGTGAAAACGCTCGGTAGGTGCTCTATGGAGTTCCACATTTTCTGGTATACAGTCGTATTGGAATTCTTAAAAAATTCTTGGGTAGATCCTCCCATTACCATTCCGTACTTGATTTGCGATTGAGCTGCAAGATCTTCTACGTTGTTAATGGCTGATTCCTGGCTGGTCAAATTAGCAATAAGAGCTATATTGGCTATGTAATAGCTGGTTAGAATTAAGGAGAATAGCCACCACATGCTGATGGCTAGTCGAGCGGATTTTCCTCTAGAAATATTAATTACATCAGATGAACAAAAGTGGTTCGAATATAATAATAATTACTTTGGAACAGCATCGCTTCCTTGCATTGTTAGAGCTTTTAGTGTAAGCATTAAGGAGTTCTTGAGATTCCATCTATTGACCAACGTTTCGTCTAGTTCATCGCAAGGGTATTTTCTCTCCCAATCGTCGGGTGATAATCTTGAAAATTCATACAAGTAAATTTGATCGTGACAGTGAAATTAATAATCACCTCAATACGATATACAAACAAACTGAAATTGCAATATAACAGTATACTATGGTCATCCAAAGGGATTGTTCGAATCCGATTAAAAAGAGAAAACTATTCGATTCGAAATAATCTGTGGTTGTAAATAAGATGCTTATACCTGAAAAAAATTAGTGTGTATGAAACGAAACGTGAATTAATCGATATTACCTAATTCCATGAAAGGTAAACTGAAATCAACTGCGTCCTCTCTTTCTTCTGTAATAGTCAAATCGCAAATTCCCAAGTGAGCTCTCTAAAACAAGCAAATTCCAGCCTCTACATTATAGCTACATCCGGGAAATTATTTACGAAAAATCCCAATAGCAAATATTCGCTCTTACATTTTCCGTGAGATCCCCCATGATTCCGGTCCATTTGTCTTCGAATACCTCGTACCTGCCGTAAGAACCGTCTTCGGCGAGGCGAAATTCGAATTTAAATCCGACGATTTTCGCGATTTCCGCTATCAAATCCATGGAATAGCCGACGTATCGTTCGTTACCTTCGAGCACTTTTCCATCCTCTGGCTCGGCGAGCATTAAGTAAGGAGCTCCGAGTCTGAAAAAATTTACCAACTGGGGATGAAACCGTATCATTGCAGGACATTATACTTACTTCGACGATACAATAACAGTGGTGGATTGTAAATTATTCACCACGGTAATGGATTCATCGAATTCGGCATTTGTTATTAAGGTTTGGTTTTGTTCGAACCAAGTGGCGATTTTTTTGTCCGCCAGAACATCTACAATGATGATGTTGAAATCTATCCTGCTGCCTTGCACGTCAAATAGAATAGGACCAGTTAGATTGGTTAGATTGGTAAAGAAGAATCTCTGAAAATTATTAGTACCTAATATTTAATATAATAAAAGATTATTGTAATAAGTTACACCATTCTCTCCAACCTGCACCTATGCAGCGTAGGTGGGAGTTCTGGGTTGCCTATCTAAAAAGACTGTGACTCGGGATATGTTGAAAAAAATTCTTGTCAAGAAAAAAATTCTTGTTGAAAAAACTCCAACCAAATTTAACACATATTTTTAAGAATTTATTATTGTTATTTTCTTACGTTTTTCATAGCCAAAGACAACTCGAGTCCTTTTTTGAATTTCTTCGTTCCATTGCAGTAGATAGGATCAGTAAAAAGCATTTGTGTGGTTTTCATTGTATCGTGGAAGTACCAAAGGGCATCGTAAAACAGAGCAATATCGGTCTAAAATAAATACAAAACGGAATGCAAATGTTTGCTCGAGTTGCAGATCAAACTTTTATAGAGCAACATTATTTGTTTCCGAATTCGAAAATATTCAATGTTTGCGCCACTTGCATACTGGCGTTTTTATTTACTTACTTTTAATTTCCTGTGGTGAATGAGCTCCGCTAATCCGATTCTTCTGGCGGATTCTTTGAAAGATTCATCGTTGTCGTCGAATAGTCGAATTGTTGTAATATTCGCGGTGGTGTTTAGATCCGAATAATCTAGTGTTAAAGCGTCCTAAAATTTTTCTTTAAATTCTTTAAATTGTTACTTAGCGCATATTTTATAAGTTACCTACCAAATCTAATAAGAAATAGTTATTGTACACATTCAGAAGATTCGCTTCGCTGGCTTGTTGTAGTAGCGGTATTATAAGTTCCGTTTTACAGTCCAAAATTATGTTAGTTTGCATTGATCTCTCGATCTTCCTGAACAAGTCCCTGGAATTTTTCGTGTAAACTGGATAATTTATTAAATAAGTCGTCAACTCACGAATGATCCGGTCCCGGACCCAATTTCTCGAAAGCGATCTTATTCCGCTTGTCCTTCTCGTTGTATTGGTGGAAGTTCAAGATGTTCTTCAACTTCAACAGCGTCTCGTCTTTTTCGTAAATCACCGCGAAACTCTTCCAGCCGAAGCTCCTGACGATCTCCCCGAGGGCGTTCGCGTACAAATCGGTCTCCGGAAAGAAGTTCATGAAGAACCCTCTGTCCCTTTCGGCCCTCGGTCGCCACGAGTACGAAATGTACGGTATTTCGAATTCCAAACATATCGACTCCAATATCGTCGTCGCGGGGGTGTATTTCGGTCCGAATACGGCCATCACGCCGGAGTTCGAACTTAGCACTTCGCATACTAAAATTTGTACATATTAAGTAAGTAACGGGGAAAGGGAATCCGCGAAAGTTACGCAATATAGCCTTCCGGATAAAATCTGGAAGGTCTGCACAACTGGAAAATAAATTGTCTATCAACTATTATTCGTTCGAAATGAATTGTGCGATTTGAAATTCATGGCGCATCGAATTTCGAAGCGATCTCGGAATATTCAAAATCCAATATCTTGCATTTTACCGCACGTTCATTATTTCATTTGCACACTTACGCGTCTCGCTCGCTCCGAAGCTATCAAATTCAGAAACATGCTGCACGTTCGCGGAAAATATCAGCTCTCCTTTGGCGAATTTCTTCGATATCGTGCTGTTCAAAAGTCGTTGTTCCTGTGACGGGTAATCTCCCAATAGCACGCCTAAAATAATAAGTTCAACGATACAAAATTCCACATATTTAATAGTAGAAGAATACATTTTTGAGGACACATTACACATGTAGGTATTGATTTTAAAAAAGCGTATTTAAAGCGTACCTTACCTACAGATAATCCGCTGGTTTTATCAAAAATATAAAACAAAATCAATAGCAATTTAATTTTGAACGATATAAAACCCATTGTAAAGGGTTGTGTGTGTCGACTGAAAAGGGACCTGTGTATTGTGTTATATTAAAACGCGTACTGACTGTTGTTCCCACAATTTAACGAACGAAAATAATTTTTACACTAGTTCGCTATATTAATTAGGTAATTCCGCTAATTAAATTGCCCTATATTAAATTTCAAACGACCTTAAAAATTGTGTTTCGGAGCAAACGGTTGTTGTTTCGAATTTATGGGCGCTTTTCGCGAACGAACCAGCATTTACCTAATATAATGAACTTTCAGGAAAAATTCAAGTCGACGACTCGTTGAAGTATTTGAATTAGATCCATGAAGATATGATAAACAAACGTTGAGAGTTTGTTCGGAAAAGTTGGGAAAATAAATTAGTCGGACACGGACGGGAAGCAAAGATAAAGTTATTCGGCCGAAGAAAGTTTTTCTCCCCAGTTTCGATCCGACTTCACGCACTCGAAAAGTGCGTAATGCTCGGAAATGACATTATCGTCGAAACGGGCGAAAACTCGGTTTTCGGACAGCCCGCAAGATATAAACTTTTTTTTTTATTTTATCTTTCAGAAGGGCAAATAATCGACGTTCGCTCGGACACGTATATATACTAAACTATAATAAACATTTTCTTTTCGTCCAACAATAATAAAACAGCAATAAAATAACTCCTGGAAATGAAACTATAATAAATATTTTTTTACAAGTAGTATATAATGTTTTCCTTAAATCTGATCCGTATAAATCTTAATGACCAATATCACAGCCGCCAGTCTATAATCCTCCTTTCGACGGCGAAGCCCAGTTAAATGGTATAAACATGTAACACCGAACGAAACATACTTTTACCATTAAACCAAAGTGGCTCTTCCGGCTCTCTTCAACCGGAAATTACGCCGTTATCAAAACACTCAATTTAATGGAACCGGTGTTAAATGCCAGCAGTCGACATCGCTGCCGTGGATGCGACTGATGATGAAACGCTCGATTCCGAATGCATATATCTGCTGCACTTTGCGCCTGCATGTAATTGCATTGTTTCGTAATTTTTTTATTTTTTTTTCGATTCATAATTCACCTGTTTTCGATGCACAAAGCGGCTCTACTGAAACTGGGATTTTCATTGCCTTTATGAAATTGCTGTTCAATAAATTTTTTGCATGGTATTTAAAAAAATATGATTACGTAAAATGAGAGAATTTATATAACAATTTCTTTATGAGAGATAATAGTATAGTTAGTAATTAAAGGAAGTTTTTGTTATTTTTTAAACTGTCGTTTTTTTTACTGAAGAAAAAACAATCCTTGATACATTATCCCTTTAAGTTGAGTGAGATATCCTTCTTTCTTGTCGTTATCCTAAGGATTTGGCCTTTACTTTATGGTTAACCTCTGGCCCCTCTTTTCTTTTAAATCTCCACACATTTATTTCCCTTTTAGATTATGCATTATCGCCAAATTCCTCGTCTACTAGAAGGATGTTGCTAATATCTTAGTTTTATTGCAAGCGGAATAAAAAATCTACCATAAATTTATCACCTAATAAACTTGCTCATTACTTTTGCTCTAAATAATCACTCTGTATATCTCATTTGCACAATTCCTGAATTATTTTTGTTTATTTTCTCGCACGTTAAGCATATTTGTCGTCCACTAAATCAACGCGATTTTAGCATAACAAACAAAAATTTGTTGGTTCTAAATCCTTTTTTTACGCCCTTTTTTTAACACCATCGCATAATTATTCACCCAAACTCCTAACCCATTTAATTTCTCACCGTTGCAGGATTCCATTGGAGGAGAGTGGGGCGTGTAATTTTTTTGGGGCGAGCGGAGAATTCTTACCTCGCTTTTTAAAATAATGAATTCAATAAGTATTTATTTACTCGGACTCGTAAATCCGCGAGATTCAAATTAGCGAACTCCTCTCCACGACGTCGGAAATAAAAGAGATTAAAAAGAGGGGCTCAGCAACTCGGTAAATAACTACCGTAGTTTCGGCGGCTTCACTAGATTGCTTATTATAAAGTTTTCAGCGGTTCAGACGGGTTTACAGCGTACAATAAATGTACCCCCGTCGTTCGGTCGCGATTCTTAAAATAATGGCGAACTGCTCAAGAAACGCGGAAGGGGAGCGGGTGGGATTTCTTCCACGCGGCCGGATTAGAACCGTATACAAACGCAGAATTTATAATGCTATTTCGTAAAAACCTTTTAATGAAAGAATACCAGAAGTTAGACGGATACAAAGATAAATTTTCTCTAACGAACTTGACTCCTTGGCTGAGACAATTGACTCTTTTGGACTTATAAATTGATCAATTTATGTCAATTTAGGTCAATGTATGTCTTTTGGACATACAATTGACTTATTTGGACATATACCTAATTGGATTTTTGGGACAGTTAACACTTTTGGACAGATAATTGACTCGTTTTTAGTTACAATTGACTTATTTGGACAGGTAATTAACACTTTTGGACAGATAATTGACTCGTTTGGAGTTATAATTGACTTATTTGGACAGATAATCGACTGTTTTGCTCAGAAAATTGACTTATGGTCAGTTATTAAAATTTCTGTTCAGATACTTGACTTTTTTGGACATACAATTGACTCTTTACTTTACCATTTTTGAATAGAGAATGAACTCTATTGATGGGTATAAGTAGCGGCTTGCTTGGACTAATAATCGAACCAATTGGGTTTCTGAAGGATTCTTTTCCAAATTCACCCGGTGTAGCAAACATCGGTAGGCTATATATCGGGGAATGGCGGAAATAATCCAGAGTTGAGAGCGGGAGAGAGGCTGGTTGGCATGGCGCAGCAGGAACGTTGCTCGTATTTTTCGAGAACCGAAGCGGCGGCAACAGACGCACAGTTGACAGATTCCCGCAATTGAGCTGTCATTCATAAACAACTGAACATCCAACGTCGAAAGCAGCGCGCAATTAACGGACCATTAAATTAATTGGTCGGGAACCGAGCGCATTGAAATGTTAAATTTTATCGAGTGGGTCCCCGGAACTCACTGAATCGCTGCCTCGCATTTTTTTTGCAAATTGATTTTATCCACCATTCACGCTTAATTTATAATGTATATTATTTTAATTATGGATCGGTAAAAACATCGATTACTTAAATTCATCAATTACTGGAGGTTTTACCAGAAGATTTTTTGTTAAACCAAACTCCTACGAATGCGAATGGGTTTTTGATCAAGCTATAAAATACTTCATTAAAATTCTAAAAATGAAAAACATTTCCTGGCGCAGGAATGAGAATAATTAATTTCGTCATGCGATACGCAATAATTGAGGCAGGAAGACCGTTTAATTGGTTGATGGCGGAGTAAATTCAAAGCGTTTCTAATTAGATCGAACGATTTAAGGTCGTTTTTGAAAGCTTTTCCTACCAATTGATTCAACATTTCCGTTGATCTTCACATAATAAGGCGATTTTTCAAATTACCGTACTTGTCGAACTTTATAGGTTCATTTTTTTGCTTACAATTATTTGAACAATAAAGTGTATATTACATACATTGCGAAGATACTCGAAAGCTTTCAACAAAATATCGCGTTACATAATACGCCTAATATAATATCGAACAAAATGGTGTTATTGTTCTCTTTAACAAATTGGATATTGTTTCACGAAGGAACTAAATATAGGTAACGAAAATTGTATGTTATTTAATATTAGTTACATTTAATAAATCTATTTTTGTAGTGATATGCTCGCGCTTTTAGTCGCGCATTACACCAATTCCTCCCTTCTAAATATACAAATAGCGTAATAATTGTAAGGCTTTGTAAATAAACTCGTGTCTCAAATGGCTGTTAATATCGCAGAAATGGCCCCAGGGCATCTACTCGGACAGGTATAAAGGAGCTGAATAAACTTATCTAACTCGCCATCTATTTGGTAGAGGGGCTCGGAAATTAATAATTTGCGGAGTTGAATAGGAGCCGGGAAATATTACTTGTACCTACCTATGGTATAAGGGACCTTGATTTATATGCTATTATAGTAAATGCTGCTTGCTCCCCAAAAAGGACCATATCTGGCTCTATATTGAAATCGAGAATAACAACTAAGTTAAACTAATATGGTAGTTTGTGAGAACTAATTCATTTCGGATGAAAATTGCGACGCAGAGAATATTTTTCATTACGATTCCGGTCGTGAATTCGATCTTGCCGATGGTGGTTCGCCATCGATTGCGAACGTACACACAGTATTAAATCCGGCTCGGGCTCTAGTCAAATGTCACGTATAGAGCGGCAGGTGAATTTGCTCGAACCAAATATCACGTACTGTAGCAATACCTCGTTCATTTGATTAGACTAAGTAAATGGCGCGATAATTCCGAATGCTGTTTTCTTTCCTTCCCTCGGATCTTTCCGGTATTTGGGTTCCGAGACATTGGAAGTAAATCGATAAAAAAAATAGCAGACGACACGACTTTATAAGATTATAAATTACTCGAATACTGCATTAAACAGAAGATGAGGTAAAACCGCAAGAAACTTGCCTAGTTAATGACCGGAGTTTTCTGCCATCTTAATTCGCATCTACGTTTTTTCCCGAATCTACCGCAACGTGTACGTTTGTTGACGATCTGATAAATAAAACTCATCAAATTCATAGATTCAAATCAACATTAAAGGCCTCGTCTCGCTGCGCCAAATCTGAAATGGGAATCTCGCTGATTTACGAGATAGCCCGCAATCCAAACAATGCGCTCCCTCTATCGACCAGTTAACAATTTTTTCTCTCCGACATCGGGAAAATATTTTCCTCCGATCGTCAGGGAAATTTATTCGCTTTGGCAACGCCGATTGTATTGTGCTTACGAAATCAAATGAACATATAAGCTATGTCATAACAGAAAATCAGATAGAACTAAGTATGTATTTTTAGAAAAAACTTAAAGCCAAAAAATAAATGTACTCGTTACGAATTTTAATTAAATTTGCCCATCTGAAGCGACATGTAATATTTTTATCCGATTTATCTTGCAGAACAAACACCGGGACGTGTCTCCGGTTAGACATCTGGAACTTGGGCGGTATCGAATGGGATAATCTGGAGATGATAGGACACGAAATTCGCCAAATCCTGCCGGCATTTATCGAATCACGTGTGTAATAATCGCGTGCATATCGGTTAACGACAATAAGGATCCTGTGATGACCGCATATATCAATTACACGTTGCAGCGTATATTTGCATAATATCCACCAGCAGTGTAGGTAATGTTCTTAAAAGTACCTACAGACCGAGAAAAATAGCTGAAGATCTCTTTAAGTTTGATGCGCGGCTGTTTATTCTATTGCATTGCCAGCTATTTCTATCATACTGTAGCTGTTATTTCAAGAATATAAAAGTTTTAAAATTTTAAATGAAAATGAAAATACTGTTCAAATTTTGTGATTTACATATGTCAGGTTACTTTTAAATTACGAACCTAATTAACGATATGTAATTAATTTGCCATTATGGCAAATTCTACAAACAAAACTGACTGAATAAAATATATATGCGATATGTATACATACATACTATAATAGAAATTGATTACACTGCAACCAAGTTTACATAAAAAACGTATAATAATAATCGAAAATTCAAATCGCATGTAAGCTCATAGTAATTTATTCATGCACATAGGTTTTCATGTCATTCCCACCTCGAAGCAAAACAAACAGTATACCATATACCATATCATACACCGCCTCGCCTTACAATTAGTCATAAAATTATTGGTAATACAATTATTGAGGTTACTGGGTTTTCTCGGTGCTATTTTTATCGAACGAACGGCTCGCACGATATCTTGCGATTTTCTAGCGACGATTCGTAGAAAGGAGAAATGCCCGATGTCGATGGAAAACCGACGAAATCGCTCAACAAACGAAGATGCGGATGCAGCGTGTGTTGTTTTCCTTCCTACAATTTGATGGAAGAAGAAGACGAAGTCTCGGTGGAACACGAAAACAGGATTAGTAAGGTTAGTTCGTTGTTTATTTATAAGTTTTACTTCGAAATATCGTGTACCGGTGACCCTGAGTGTTTATTTACGTATTTTTGTACCTACTCTACTCGTACATAAATTTAATTCAGCCTTTAGGTTTTTATGTATATTCAATTACTTTGATATTCTATTAAATATTGATACTTTAATAAAAAATGTGAAGAACTAAAATATATCTAATCTTCAGTTGGTTTTCTTCATCAGTATGAGAAATTTCCCAACCACACGACTCAAATCACCAAATTAATCGCCAAATCAACGCCTTATCGCCTTTGATTGATTAGAAGTTCCGTTTTCATTTTTACCATTTCACTTTCAGCTGCGAAATTGATTTAGTTTAATCGAGTAATTAATTTGTTACGTCCATTAAGTGTAAAAATGCCGAAAGTTTTTCGAAAAATTTCCCGGGCGGACTTCCAGAAGGTCGGGTCATCTCTCAAAACGTTCTCCCACAATTCCATGCAATCATTAGTATCCCTAAAGGGTATGGCTTTCGGGCCGAAAGATAAGGTTAGTAGATGGAAATTGAGTGAGAATAAGTAATTTGTGAAGTAGGCAAAAAAAATTTTTGTTAGTTAAAAAATATGGTACAATATGTGTACATTTTCGTATAAATTATTACCAACGATAAGTAAGAACTTCACGAGGCACGTATATTTTTGCTGCTGGAAGATTTATCAAAGAAAGTAAGTTTATTTCTAGCAATTTGTCATTTTCTTTCTTTGCCTTTACCATTGATATTTCACTTACGTTAGGCTTCTCTGTGTGAAAAAAGGTCTGTTATAAATTAAACATTTGATTTATGTCAAAAAATGTCACCCGCAACTTTCGAAGGAAACTATTTCCAGTGATTACGTGCAATAACACACAAGTGATTTTATGAATAAAAAAAGAAAACGCCAAATGTGCAGTTGTCCTAAATATCGATGCGTGTGCGAGGTAATTATTTGAATAATTCAAACGTATGATGTCATATTTAATTCCTACTGGTATAGGCAACACTGTTTACTTCATTATATTTTTATATTACATCAGTCATAATTAAAATTCAAGGATGCCTATATTGTCAAACTAAAATTATTTATTAATCATAAACGCGAAATTAATTCGATACGTTTTCGAATTTTTATACCACATTGATTGCACTATAACCGACGCATTTAATCCGACTTCTGCAGCAAGCAGTGTGATATTGACTCAACTCAGTCACGTTACGCAGTCGCGCGGTACGTTACAATATTCGTTCTAACATAGCTGTTATCGAACCGTACAGATAACATTAATCTCGTTAAAGAATTCGAAACAAAGTAAAATTAAAAAAAAACATGTCGTCGACCGCTCGAAACGATGACGCGCTGTAGAAAACCCAAAAATCCAGAAGTATGTTGGAAGAAGGCGTAGACGTTTTAGATTTTTTTGTTGTTGAACAGGCCGCTTGTCCTCACTACGTCGACGATCTGCCCGATCCGCTCGAACCCGGCACGCTCATCAAAATCAAAGGACTGGTCTTGCCCATTTGCTCAAGGTATGCGCCTCGGAGAACCGGGCTGTTAATTTTCTTTAACGCGCACAGAGAATGTGAGATATAAATCTCATGGAATCGAACACGATTTTATGTGCACAAATTTATACTGATATTTTTGTTGTAGATTCGCGATTAATTTAACATGTAGCAGAGATCCAGGCAGTGACATAGCATTGCACGTAAATCCTAGAATATCGCAAAGGTACGTATTTAAACCAGTGGTAACATTAATTTAAAATTTTGGCGAAGGAGCTCATATCCCTCCACCATTTACAGGAATGATTAATTTTAATTGAGCATTTTTAGTAAATTCATAAAGATTGAGAGTATATATGAAGCAACCCGCTCATGCATCGGCTGTAAATGTAAGGTGTATGTGTGTATAAACTGGTTTTAGAAACTTTACACATTTTTACGGAGTGATAAAATAAATTGTAAAACTTTTTCGGACGGCTTGGAACTTTTCAAGTAGCTTTTAATACCTCCGGAGAGATATAAAAGCAAACTTTAGTGGACAAATATATCCCATAAAAATTGTTTTAATTTAAAAAGTTAAATAAAAATCGGACGGAGCGTCGATGCGTATACTGCACAGAGTGTTTTCCAGGTACGTCGTGCGGAATTCGCGCGTGAGGCACCTGTGGGGCCAGGAGGAGGTGACGACGATCTCGAATTTCGAGCTCAACAGGAACGAAAAGTTCCAAATCGACATCGTGGTGGCCGAAAACGAGTATTTTATATCTATCAACGGTAAGCACGTGTGCGCCTTCGTCCATCGGATTCCTCTGACCGCCGTCAAGACGTTGCTCATCGAAGGACCAGTCGAAATTCACAACGTGGAATACGGAAAGACTGAATCCTATCCCGTTATCGATGAAGACAAAACTGTCCTGCAACTTCCCCCCGGAGATGTGCAGGAAATTTGCACTAACGGGCAACTCGTAAGTTAAAATTCTTCGCTTCTTGTTGTTGTTTTTTTTTGTAACTCACATTACTTTGTGTCAATCAATCGAGGGAGTTACACAACGATTTTTTTTATCAGAATTTTCTTTACGTGTAATAATTTATGGAAATACGATCACAAAAGAAATAAAAACTCCGGCTACATGCAGATTCCAATTTCAGCGAAAAATAATGAACGCGAATCTTTTATTTCCGGCGCTCTGTCGAATTTATATTAGAAAAACTAACGAAATGCGCGTCGTCACTCCGACATCAAAGCGAAAACCCCGTGTACTCGACTAAATTGATATCAAATAACGATGTTTTGCTTTTGTACTTTGCGTTACATATGCCATCATTGCAATTTCGAGTATAATGAGATTCTTTTTCCCCGACGTTAAAATTCTCTTAATACATAGGTATTCGCAAAAAATGCTTTGTACCAATCCTACATTGTTTGATTTTAATTAAGGCTTCTTTTCCAATTAGTTTCTGCACTTTTAAAACTGACTATTAAAAAATGTCTCTTATAAGCGTATTTAAGATTAATTAGGTTATACTTTTTTGTAATCGAATTCATGAATTGAACAAAATGAAAAGGACAAGCCGTCGATTTTGAGACAGATATAGAATGTAATTTTGTAACTCGTTAATTGGATGCCATTTCTGTGGATCACTCAAACAAATATGTACCCACCGAGCTTTAAGATGATACCATTGTAGATTATAATAGCAAAAGCCGTTTTCGCATCAGAAAAGTTGATAATTCGAAAATCCGCGTCGACACAACCGATGCTCCGAGAATGTCATTAAAAGTTGAAGCCTTTTTCCGCTACTTGTTAAATTCATGTAGATGTAAAAGTTTTAATTGGTAGTGGGAGCGGTACCCGCGCGGCCGCTAATTAAAAGCGCATTGTTTTTACGGCGCTTTTACGGCGCTGCGCGTAAAAAATACAGCACTTTTCATCAGGTATAATATTTCATGCGGGATATTATGATGTACTTATTCTTCACGAGCGGTGCAAAAAGTTCGGAAGCTGCCCTGATTATTCCGGCTCTTCGGAGGAGCCGTCGTAAATTTCGAATCGGCGAGAATATTTCTCTAATTAACTCGTTTTTACTGCGTTGTTCGAGTTTTGTTTATTTGTTAGAGCGAACTTATTTTGTCGCGACTCACATGCTAGGTTATTACAAAATAAACTTAACCAGTCTAGCTGGAATTTACCTATAAATAAACCCCTAATATGCATGGCTTCTGCTTTGATGAAATAGTGACAAGTGATGTAATTGTGTGTGCATTTTAAATGGCTTAGGTTTAGTTTGCAAATCGTATTAAATAGTTTCAATTTTCCATATGAACGTGGAAAATTGCCGGTCAAACGGCACTTTCCTTTTGCTCTGCCGCGGCCGTTTCAAAACTGAGCGAGAATAATTTAGTAAACATTTCGTTTGAATTTAATTAAAGCTCATGCGAAATCGAGATTTATCTCGTTCCTTTTAGGGCGGGCACTGTACATATCTATGCGATGTTTAAATGAGCTTACTTTCATATATAACTAAAGTTAAAACTTTCAGAATACGCTAATGCATATATCTGGAATTTCGGAATTCGCTGAAACTCTGTTTATATTTCGTTCATAATTTTCTACGCTGGATAACTTTCTAATTATATTTCGAATTTTAACTGATAACATGTTTGTAATGAAGTTATTTACCTGCGGGGTAATAGTAGAAAAAAAATCGATTTTGTTAAATACGTAATAGCATTAAAACGTAGAATATTTTCAATGGTTTTATTTTCAGCGCTTGCCATTAACGCTATCGCTACCTCAGGGATTCAAGCAGGGCTGGCAGTTGGAAATAGACGGGAGAGTGAAAATTTTACCGGTGAATTTCTTTATTAATTTACAAGATGGATCTCAATTGTGGCCGCATCCCAACATTCACCTGCACCTCAATCCGCGATTCGGTAAGCCACTTTCGTTTTGATAATAACAGACCTTCGACACAGTAATTTTCATTTTGCAATTTCAATTTATAATTTTAATACTAAATCCCGGCTCGCAGCCGGCTCAACGGGTTGCTGCCACGCTTCGTTACCTATTTATAAGCCCCTATTACCGGCTAATATAATCAATTTTAGATATAAGGGGTCCAATATTCATCGTTATCAGTTGGGTCACAACATCTACCCAGCATATATTATCGGGTTGTAGACAAAAGGTGTAATACCAGGGCGCCTTGTACCAATATACACCACACGGATAGCTGTTATGTAACGATATTGTAATGAATATACGATGAATATGGATCGGTTAAAGTGGAATATCGAATTGAACTAGATTTCTTCTTGCACATTATCTGGCTTTCCCGACACAAAGCTCTTCCATTTATATTTAAAATAGTTACCAACTTCCTCCTTCATTCGGTTGAATCACATAGAATTTATAAATTCAAATTAGGGAATTACGTAAATTCACATGTCGACTTAGTTTTCAATCGAGTTTCCATCTTGGAAGAGTTGACAACGAACAACCCAGACGTTTCCCGCTTATTAAAATTTCAGTCCTGCCCGGCGCTAATCCATATTTCAACACACCATAATATATAAATCCCATGACGCACAATGGACCACTCGTTGTATTATCGAAACTATATCAGAAGTTACTCGGGGGCCATAACAATAGCTGTCGTAACAAAATTATAACTTCGTTAATTTATTAAAGTTCGTTATTTTGTTTTAATTACGCCCTGTGTATAGATTTTAATCGCGCGCCTGCTTAATATGCCCACAGGATTGCGCTCACCACACAGTGGGTGTGTTTGTGTATGCAATGAGAGTTTTCAAAAAAAAATATACCAGCAATTTCGCTGAAAAAAACGAACAACATTCTCATCTGACACGAGAATAACCAGTCTTTTTTCTGTATTCTATATCATCTCTAGGGAATCATCATCTTTACCATGGCGAAACCGCTTCTGAATAGGTTTCCTATTAACAGGCGCTAAGCTTATAAGAACCTAGTATTATTTATTATTGTACAATGCGATTGTTTGTTCTTAGGTTATGCGAATACCAAGCACATGTTCGTTCGAAACGCCTGGATGGATGGACAATGGGGCAACGAGGAGTGCACCGAAGTGTTCCCGTTCGAGCCGGCGGCCCATTTCAAAATGGCCATTCGGAGGAGCGACGATCGCTTCGGCATTTGGGTGAACGGGCGTTTGTCGGGCGAATTCAAATTTAGGGGGGACGCCGATCGCATTAATACGCTCTACATGCAGGGAGACGTCACGTTAAACAGGGTGTGCATGAAGCATTGCGCCGACGATAAGTACTTGCAGGAGTGCGGGCGGTAATTTAGGAGAAACGGTGGATTTTTGGCTTTTGTTGATGTCGAGCTTTTGATAAAAGCTTTTGATAACGACTGATGTGTATATGTATTGTTTACTTACAATTAGGTAAAGTTATTATAGTGTTTGTTATAATAGTGTCTTCCTCTGCTTCCATTAACTTATCTACCAAAGAATTGAGCCTGTTAAAGCATTTATAATTTGTCATATTAAACTATTAAAATGCTTAAGATCGATAAATATTTTTGTTCTGCTAAAGCTTTTAAAATGTTTGTAACAAATTTCTTAAGAGAACTGATTCAAATAAACTATCTACGAATTTTTTATCCTAATTATCTTCAAAAATCCTTCATAAAAAATAACAGGGTATTATAAATAAACACTCGCATATCCCCTTTACGCGCTCTTTTCTTATGCGACGATATGTACAGTACAAAGAGCATTACAACCCAGCTTTTTGCAGTCCCGAGTACTCGAGAAGTCTTAAAGTGTCCTAGAAATAAATAATTCAGGGCTCATCCTTCATTCCCATATGTTCACATATCTAGGAATAAAAGCACATCCGGAAGGATCTCGGGCTTTTTAAAAGAAGCAACAAACCGTTGAAAATGATCTTGCCCATTGTTTGTTCGGCAATCTATCATAACGCGAGCTTAAGGGCATTCGGACGTCTTGGAGTTCACAACGTTGTCAAATACTTTCCAAAAGTATATTATTATCTATTTTTTTGCAAATTGTACATGAAAAAGTGTTCCAATCAATGAAAGTATTATACTAGTGAATATAGTAAGAGAGTTGTTAATAATAGGGAAATAATATAATGTAATAGTACTAAAAAAAGTCGAAGCATTTAAAGTAATAAGGAAATAAAGAGGTAGTGAAATTACTAAGGAAATTAAAAATACGAGAAAGTAGTAAATAACTTAACTAGAGGAGGAAAAACCTTTGGCAACGCTGACGGCTTTCAACATCTTAACACGTCCTCAGACTGATGATGTTTTAGCAAAAAACCCTTCGAGCGTACGTCGTTCGCCATCGTAAACGTTATCCTAGGCCCGGCAACGCCGTCATTCCGTAGATGAAATCTGGAAAGCGCCTCGAGGAACACGGACAGTTGATGGACAAATTGTGTTAGAGTTTCCCGAGCAGAATGGCAGCGGGATTCCATTATAGCGACGGGGTGACCTTTGTCCGCATTATGCGGGATTTCGGCCGCAGGAAGACCGCTTGCCTCGATACCCATAAAAACCACCTACATACACCACCATTATTTCAATATATTTTTTTTTAATTTAGCTGATTGCCGCAGTAGTGCAGTGTCTTGATTACATTGCAGAAGAGCCCCTTCTGCGTTCGGTTCCGAGCTGGTCGACACAATGGTTACCGGTTGATATAACCAATTTGCATTAGTGCTGGGATTGTCGCGGTCAGCAATCACCTCGGTTTGCCGCCCGGTGAATCCGCTCCCGACGAATTATATTTTCAACGGGATTGACGCGACATCGAATCGAATTATTATTTTCCGGATGGAACGCGCCAGCGTAACGCCCGATGGCCTGGTTACACTTCGTACGTTTTGCGAGAGATACGTGTGCTCTGTACAGGGTGAAATGTTTTCGATAATTAGCTACTGTTGATTTTTGTGACATTAATTTAATTGTACAAATATTAACTTGTTTAAAATATTATTTGTGGGAAGTAAATACTCCGAATAGTCAGTTAATTGAATAAATAGTTAGAATTTGTTGATAATTGTGAATTGGTGTAGTACGATAAATTCGTTCCCAAAAGTTTTTTGCGGTCATTGGGGTTGATCCTCGTGAGATTAAGGTTGCTCGAGAGGGGTATAAAAACTATTAAAAAGTCGTTTTATTATTTAAAAGGTCGGTATTCAATAAATAAAGGAATCGATTAGGCGCAGTCCTGCGGGTGTAGCAAACTTGCCGTTGATGTTTCCCAGCAACTTTTTACTCGCTTAAACAAGGTATTTATTAAAGCCCTATTCAAGACTAGTCCAAGGAACAATCCCTTGAATTTTTGCCGCATGTTTAAAATAAACACCCTATCTAACATGTCGAGAAATTCAAACATACCAACTAACTTTTTAACATCGCAAACGTTTTATAAAAGACAAAACGGACAAAGCCCGCGTCCACTCGACCGGATCGTTCCTTTCCCCGTCGGAGATACACATAAGCTTGTTATATGAAAATTCTTTTACCTCCGGAATATAAAACGAGACTCGCCGTTCTTATAGTGATTTGAAAAGCCATCCTGTCGGAGCCATAAAATGTCAGCCGTCATAAGAAACACTTGTGCACGGCCCAGCTGCCACGCATTCGAGACAAAGACACTTCGACCCCCTAGCGTCGTTAAGAAGCCGTCGGTTTCGGAATGTCCAACCGGTGATATAGCAGTTAAGAAAAATCCTCCATCAGGATATTTTATCCGCATTCTATCACATAAAACGCAACCTCCCACGTTTTATTTTCCAATAATATCCACAAGTATATGCAATTATTCTTGGAAAGTCGAAGTTTGCCGATTGATTTGAGTTAAGTGAAATCCACCCCTAGCAAAAAAAGAACGGCCCGTTTAAATATGATAACGTTTTTTTTTTTCTTATCGCCAACCGCAGCTAGTGAAGGGAGCCGGCTCACTTTCGAGATGAGCGCGAGCCGACCTAGCTATCTTCCAGAAACTAAATCAACTAAATCACAATATAAGGCGAGGCGCGCCCGAGGGCTCGACCGAAACTTCTCGGAATGCCGCAAAGATTCGATCTTGATTACTATAAATTATCGAGAAGTTGCAAGAAGGTCTTCGGCGGCTGGATAACTTAGGAGTTACGTGACGTATCCGAATTGACATTGTTTACAAGTCATAGCCCCGTTATTAATTAACTAAGTGTAGTATAAGGTAGCTCTGAAGTGCTGACCGCGGAAGTTGCAGGAGTTTCAATATCGCAACACTGGAGTTAGGATCCTCATAATTTGATTTATCTTTGAAATACTAAGTAAATTTGCGTTTCTACGTGCTAATACATTATTAATTAATTAATAAGTAAATCGATAGCGTATCCATTTATCCATTTATCATTCGACTAAAACGCACCTTTTAGTCACTATTCGTTTTCTATTTGCATTCCTGTCATATAGCGTTGGTGCAGTTTATTTCCTAGTCGAGTTTATGGGCTAGAGAGTAATCCGCAGATTTGTTTGTTCCCAGTTTTAAATACTAATTATATTTGCCATCCCTATCTAGCTCCATATTTCATCGCTTTCTGTCCCTCGAAACGGCGGATGGTAGAGAATGATAATTTCGCAAACGGCCGGTCTGCCGCTCCAGATAACTGATATTTATTATTATTACGAAAAGCCATATTGCTACACTTCGATTTCCGTTGAAATGCTCCGAAAATAAAATGAAACATTGTACTGTTGTTTGCTTTCCGCTCTTTTTGTTTTTCGCCAATTGTTATACGTTTCGATTTGTTGCTGCACACAACACAAATTCGTTATTGGTGTAATAAATATTTTGATCTAAACTCATATATTTCTTTTTACAGCAAGTAATCTAAATAACTATTAACACTTTATCAATTATATTTTTACTATTCATACAATTTTAGTTGGAGTGTCATTTGTGGAAAAATAATTTTGCTATGTAATACAAACTAATTATTCAATTATTGAGTATAATTTTCCTGTTTTCCCGGTGAAAATAACTGAAAACAATATGATAATTGAATTCCAACAACACCGCTTTCAAAATAAAAGAGCAATTTGTTTGAAATAATCGAAAACGGCCTATTCCTTGGGGAGAATACGCTATCAGCATAACAATGACTATACCCATACACTCTGCTATTACGTAATTTAATCAATAAGTAAATTGGTCGGTTCAATTTGGGGCCTTTTGAGTATCTCCGATATCAGTTTAGTTTATCTCGCATTTCTTAATTGAAATGGGGTGCATTATTTGTCGAGTATAACGCTGGTTGAGGACGAAAAACGTGCATTATTTAAATTCGATTGCCCACTAAATAAGAATTTGCCTTACTAGGCGGAATTAACGCAAAAGTGAAACGCGGAAAATCGCTTTTCCTAATCCCAGTCCGTAAATACCGGGCGGAGAGTTGAGCTTGAGCGGCGGAATTTCAATTCTACTTTGCTTAAACTTCGCCGAATATCTTTCTCGAACATAAATTAATCGAAAAATTGTGAATTCAAGAAGATATTAAACCGTACACAATTCGAGTTCCTCAGTTCTTCATAAGCGGATCATCCCTTGCGAAATATCTGGAAAGGAAGCCGGAGGATTTTCTTTCTTTTGCCGATTTCGCAAACCCCGGAGAAGGAAGATTATATTAGATTAGGGAATTTATCGTTAATGAGGATTTGAATGTATCGAATTATTTTGATTCCAACGGAATCGGAAAGTTTTATTTTCGGAAAGCGACTTCCTTGCGAAAAAAGTAAATGGGTAGGTCGTGTTTTTAAGAAATGGGATTTTAGTTTGAACGTAATATTGCGTTCCCAAGTTTATTTTAAAATAAAAAGCCGAAACAATAGGGGAAAGAAAACCTTTTATTTCAATACAGTGTTAATAATTAAAAAGTTGAGAGCACTAAGAGATGCTGAAGCACATTCAGTCAAAACATGGGTTGAGCGTTTTGCATATTTCATGATCCGGCAGAGTCGGATTAAAACATTCCAAGCCGACAAAAAAATCTAACAAATTCCTGCCGCATAAAGAAATAACAACTTCGATCAAAAGACGCTCTTCTTTGTGGATGCCCCGAGTGATTTTTTTACATCATAAAAAACTCTCATCCCTCTCCACTCATCTACATTTTTTCGCATTACCCGCACTCTTTGATGTTGACGCCACCGCTACGTTCCTGACCTTCGAATGACGCAAAATAAATAATTTAAAGCCTGTTTTTCCAATCCTCCAGAGCATGCAACAAAAATATCCCACGAAATTTACCTTATAATTCCACAAACATTTTTAAACAACAAAATTTATCAACCACAAACGGAAACAAGTGTATTTTAATTGAGTATCTTAAGCATCTGATGGATTTAAGGTGGAATTTAGTTTAAATGTACCACCCAAAATCAAGACCTGGATTAAAAATGTAAGGAGGTCTTGAGAGATTTAGAAAAAGACTGATATCTATAGAGATACTTTGAAATGATCTAAAGATGATTGGGGAGCCATAAAGAAACCTAAGCAGAGTTCTGAAGATGCCTATAGAGAGACTTAAGAAGAAAAAGAACTCCATATAGACTTAAAGACAAAAAATTAGTATGTTTGTCATTTAATGGTCATTAATCATCGCTTTTGTTGGAGTGCTCCATTCACACATTCCCACTTCACTAATTTGACAACCACCTCCATTCAATCTACCGGAGGAACCTCTCCCGTTAGC